CGTCCGAGGCGTCGGAGCAGGCGGCGCTCGACGCGCCGACGGAGGCCGCGGAGCCGCCGCGCGAGGCCGCGGCGGCCGCGCCGCCGGAGCCCGAGGTCCGCGTCGTCGAGAAGCAGACCGTGCGCCTCATGAAGGACCCCGCGGCGGAGCTCGAGATCCGGCGGCTCCAGAAGGAGCTCGAGCAGATGCACAAGGCCGCGGCCCAGTCCATGGCCGCCTTATCGCGGAAGACGGGCGTCAACGTCGCGGCCGCTTTAGAGGCGTCGAAGCACGTCTTCAAGGAGGAGAGGGTCCGCGGCGACGCGGCGAAGAAGGACGTCGCGGCCAAGGTCGTCGAGATCGTCGCCGACCGGGCGGGCATCGAAGCGGCGGACCGCGACGAGATCGCGGAGCTCATCGTGCTCCACGACTACGTCGAGGGCGTCGAGGCCGTCGTCGAGAACGTCAAGTCCGGCGTCGACGCGGCCAAGGCGACGCGCGTGTCCCGCGCCAAGGACGGCCGCCGCGTGTCCGTGGCCGCCCGGCCGGGGTCCATGAAACAGGTCCCCGCGGCGCCCGAGCCGCGCGACACCGCGGGGGCGGAGGCGCCGCCCGTCGAGGACGCCGTCGCGGCGGCCGAGCCGCCGAAGGAGAAGGTCATCGAGGCCCACGAGGTCGCGCGCCGCGACCCGGAGGAGGACCCGACGGAGCCGCAGATCCTCGCGCCGCGCGTGTCCCACAAGGCGGGCGAGGAGCTGCACCACCTCGCGCAGGGCCAGGACATGATCAACGTCTCCGTCGACATCGGCAACCGCGGGCCGCGGGGCATGTCCGCCGCGGACAAGGCGACCATCGCGAAGCTCGAGAGCCACGTCGCGCTGCTCCGCGAGTGCATGGAAAAGCAGCAGGCGGCCATGCTGGCCGCGGCGATGACGCGCTTCGACCGGCCGCCCAAGTCCAAGTGGGCGAACCTGCACAAGCTCATGGCCGAGGTCCAGATCGACGACGACGACGACGACGACGACGACGACCGGGCCGAGCTCAAGGACGTGGACCAGTCGGCCGTCGCGCGCTTCGCGAGCCAGATCGAGGGCTTCCAGATGGCGAACCGGACCGAGCCGACGCAGGCCGCGGCCGGCGACCTGGAGATCACGGGCCACAAGTCGAAGCACATCGACGAGGAGGGCGACGACGAGCCCATCCCGCTCAACTCCATCCTCGAGGAGCTCCGCCGGTCCAAGTTCACGCGGCCCCAGAAGGAGACGTCGAAGCAGGACGCGGCGCTCGCCGACGCGGGCCGCGAGCTCGCGGCCGTGCGCGACGCGCTGATCAACGACATGCGCGAGGGCCTCCACGAGCAGCTCGGCCGCATGCCCGCGACGGCCGCGCGGACCGCGAAGCTCTTCGACAAGCAGGCGAACGCGCTCGAGCACCTCCACAAGGACTTGGCCGACGACGCGGAGCACGAGGCGCCCATCGAGGAGTACCACGCCGAGGCCGTCGACGCCGAGGACGCGGCCTGGGACGTCGTCGACGAGCAGCGCGCGGAGCTCACGGCGTCCAAGTTGACGCTCAAGCAGGCGCTGAACCGGTCGCGCATGGCCATCACGACGGCGAACCGGCTCCGCAAGATGAAGAAGTTCCAGGACATGGACCCCGAGTCGCGCGGGTCCCTCAAATTCACGGACGCGGAGCGGACCATATTGGCCGACGACGCCGCGGAGAAGCAGGGCAAGGCCATGGAGATCGCCGCGGGCACCGTCGAGCAGATGATGACGGGCGTGACCTCGTTGGAGGCCGGCGACCCCGAGGAGCTCGACGACGACGAGGAGCGGGAGTTGGTGTACCAGGCCTTCAACCCGTTAACGGCGAAGAAGGTGCGCGCCAAGGCGAAGAAGCTCGCGGCCAAGACCGGCGTCGTCGAGGCGCCCGACGGCCACGTCGACGTCGACGAGGAGACCATGAAGCACCTCCGCGAGCACGAGAACGCCCGCATCCAGGCCCAGCTGAAGCAGCTCCGGTCCATCATCCCCAAGGAGGACGGCGGCGATACGACGGACGCGGACAGCGTGCAGCTCCACCTCAACCAGCTCAGCGCGTTGGCGCTCGCGGCGGGCGTGAACCCGCAGGCCGTCGCCCAGCTCAACCCCTACGCCGCCGCGCCCGCGCCCAAGAAGAAGAAGCTCAAGCTGAACTTCACGCCGCTGCACACGGACGCGCCGCAGACCGCGCGCAAGGACGAGCCGCCCGAGGTCATCGAGCCCGACGACGAGTACGAAGAAGCGGAAGAAACGACGGTCAACGTGGACCGGATGGTGAACCAGCTCTTCGACATCGCCGACGGCGGCCTCGACGACATCGGCGAGGACGAGGAGGAGGACTTTGCGTACGAGGGCTTCGGCCAGCCCATCTCCGTCAACGCGATGTCGTCGTCCATCGTCGGCCACGTCGCGCGGCTCTCCGCGCCGTCCGTCGACGGCGCGGAGAAGGCCGCCGAGGAGTTCTTCGAGCGGGCCGCGCAGAACGAGGTCTCGCGCCTCGAGGAGGCGCTCGAGCGCGCGCGGGTGAAGGCCGAGGAGAGCCTCCGGGACGACGTCATCGAGGAGGAGGACGAGGACGACGAGCCCGAGGAGGAGGACGACGACGGCCCGCTGCCGCGCGAGTCGACGCGGTCCGTCCGGGAGCTCATGCGCAAGGGGAAGAAGAAGTCGCCGAAGGAGATCCGCCAGGAGCAGGAGATGAAGAAGCTGCAGAAGGAGCTCGTGGACGCGCGGCTGCAGCTCGAGCGGCTGAACGAGGACAAGCGCGCCCGCGGCACGCGCGCGGCCGCCGGCGCCGCGGCGGCCATGCAGGGCTACCGGCGGAGCGGGCGGAAGCAGGGCTCGCTGAAGACCGCGGGCTTCTCGTTCGGCCGGCCGCCGGCGGACGCGTCGGGCGAGACGACGGTGGTCTACCGGGACCCGCGCCTCGACGACATCAAGACCTACGACGGCGTGCTCCAGTCCATGCTCAGCGAGATCCGGAGCAACGTCAACGCGGAGAGCGACGCGTCCGAGCGCGCGGCCGCGGACGCGCAGGCCAATCGCGCGACGACGAGCCGCATGTCCAAGTACGGCGCGAACATTGAGAGCCAGCTCAACGAGCTCGCGGCGGTCATGGCCGAGCGGCAGAACGTGCTGGCGTCCGTGATGCGGGGCGCGCCGCCGGCCATGCCGACGCGGATCATCAAGGTCGGCGCGAAGAAGAAGAAGGGCCGCAACTCCGCCAAGGGGTTCAAGGGCTTCGTGCCGCCCGGCGCCATGCTCCCGGGCCAGGACAACGGCCGCCAGTCCATGAAGGCCGACGCGCCACACGAGGAGCCGCCGCCGACCGCGGCGCCGCCGCCGGAGCCCGGCGCGGCGCCCGACGAAGGCGGCGCGTTCATGACGCCCGGCGACGTCGGGTCCCTCAAGGAGCAGGCCATCAAGATGGCCATGGCGACGCTGAAGAAGCAGATGCCCGACTTCGACAAGGACATGGCGGCCTTCGTCGAGCAGGCGACGGAGCAGATGCTCGCGGTCGTCTCCGCGCAGACCGCGGAGCTCGAGAAGCGCGAGATCGCCGTGGAGCAGGCCCTCGCGCGCGCGAACGAGGCGACGCGGCTCCGCGAGGAGGCCCACGGCCACGTGGAGACGAAGAAGGCCCACGAGGTCGCCAAGATCCGCTACGTCACGGACCAGGTGACGACCGCGAAGACGCTCCTCGAGCGGGGCCAGCTCGACGAGTCCGTCGACTTTCTGGAGAAGGTGTCGCCGCCCGTGCCCGAGCCCCTGCCGGAGATGAAGCCCATCCCCCACGTCCGCAAGAAGGAGGGCCCCGCCTTCGGCAACAACCTCATGCAGCAGGTCACGGAGCAGCTCCGGCCGGGGAGCCCCGCCGCGGCGCCGCAACTGCAGGTCCGGAAGCGGACGACGCGCGTCACGAACGCCGTCGGCGCCGTCGTCGCCGTGGACACGGCCGCGCGGCCCCACCTCGAGTTCGCGAGCCTCGAGCACCTCCTCGACGAGCTCCACACGTCGGCCATGGACAACTGGGCCAGCGGCGGCGACGGCGCGCCGTCGCGGCCGAACACGCAGGAGCGGCGCCGGCGCGCCGAGGCGCGGCGCAAGCGCGAGGAGGGCGCGACGGCGGAGATCCGCGAGTTCAGCGACCGGCTCCGGCGCCAGCGCTCGTCGATCCGCGAGGAGTACCAGCACCACGTCGACGAGCGCGTCGAGGCCTTCGTCAAGAACGAGATGCACGAGAACGGCGCCGAGGCGAAGCGCATCGCCAACGAGATCAAGCAGCAGATCGCCAAGGCGCAGCACGACAAGGTGCGCCTGTCGACGGACCAGGTCGCGGACGGCCTCGCGGCGCACCTCGACGAGCTCGGCTCCGAGGCCGCGGACGACGTCGCGCGGCGCGTCACGGCCGTCGCCCACGACGCGGACGCGATGGAGAAGCTCCTCTTCGACGAGATGAACAGCGTGTCGTCCAAGAACGCGTTCTCCATCAAGAAGAAGCAGAGGCGCGCGGAGGCGGCGGACGAGGAGGACGACGACGACGACGACCCGGACTCCGACTTCAAGCGCAACTTCGACCGGCAGATGTCGCTGCGCTTCAAGGACCGGAGCCGCGAGTCCGTCCGCGACGGCCCCGTGGGCCGCGTCGTGTCGCGGCTCGGCAAGGACGCGCGCCTCGGCACGGCCTACGACGCGCAGCTCGCGGCGGCCATGGCGGAGATCGCCGGCGACATCGCCGAGCGCTGGGGCGTCGCCGACGCGTCCAAGTGCGCGGACCTCGTCGCGAAGACCGTCGAGGACATGGTCGCCTACGCGCGGCGGTCCCGCGCGAACGCGTCCGCGGGCTCCATCGTCGTCAGCCGCCTCGGCGAGGCCGTCGCGTCGGAGATCAACGCCTTCACCAAGGACCAGCGATCGGGCGCGGACCTCACGGACGCGGACATCGAGGGCATCGTGTCGCTCGTCGACGAGGCGCTCGCCGCCAAAATGGTCCACCGGGAGGTGCACCAGGAGAGCGCCGCGCAGCAGGTCATCAAGTACATCTCCGGCGACATCTCCGACAACATGTCGACGCAGATCCGGAACTTGGTCGCGTCCGAGCTCGCGTCCATGGCGCAGCAGATCGGCACGTCCATCGCGCGGCAGCTGGGCGCGGACGCGCAGACGACGGCGAACGTCGGCAAGATCATCTCGTCGCACGTCAAGGACAACGGCCGCAAGGGCAAGGGCGGCGTCGGCGTCGTCATCGTCGACCAGCTGCGCACGATCATCGACACGCAGCGCCGGGCCACGGAGCTCATGCTCCAGCAGCGGCCCCAGGAGCGCGTGCTCGTCGCGGGCCGGTCGCCGACGGCGTCGCCGGAGCCGCCGCGCGAGCCCGCGCCCCACGAGTTCGCGCCCATCAGGGACGACGACGGCGCCGCCGCGTCGCCCGGGAAGCACGCGAAGAAGCCCAAGTCCCCGAAGAAGCACCACCACTCGAAGAAGCCCGAGGATCCCGCGGCGCCCGACGCCGCCGACGACGACGAGGCGGCGGCGTCGTCCGACAGCGACGACGAGGCCGCGCCGCCGGCCGTCCAGGAGGACGAGGAGTTCGAGGAGACGCTGACGGCGGTGCTCGCGGCCGTCGGCGACGAGGAGGAGCCGACGCTCGCGGTGTCGTCCAAGGCCCTCGGCGGCCTCGAGGTCGAGCACGAGTCGCTCGTGTCCCTCAAGGAGGAGCTGCTGACCCTGCAGCGCGCGCACGAGCGGGCACAAGCGCAGACGCCCGACGCGGCCGTCGACGACGACGTGCGCGAGGAGGTGCTCGTCAAGCTCGAGGTCGTCAACGAGCGCCTCGCGACCGTCGAGGAGGTCCGCGACGAGATCACGGGGTCCATCAAGGGCTGGGGCATCGACGCTTTGGTCGTCGCGCGCCACGAGAACGACAAGCTCGCGCGCAAGGCGAAAGCCATGGCGGGCTGGCTCGCGGCCGTGGGCAACGACGGCGGCAACGACGCCTACAAGACCTACGAGGGCACGTCGCGGGCCATGGCGCGCGAGATCGACGCGCGCGGCGGCTGGCGCGCGGCGCTGACGCTGAGCGACGGGTCGCTCAACGAGGACATCGACCCGACGGTGTGGCCGCCGGCCGACGCCTTCAAGATCATGGAGCAGCTCATGCTCTACTACAAGGAGGAGGTCAACGCCCAGGCCAACGCGAAATTCGACGCGGAGGACGAATTACTGGAACTCCGAAAGAAGGTCAAAGAGCAAACGCAGGAACTCGAAGATAAGGGCGCGAAGCTCACGAAGGCCCAGGCGTCCATGAAGCAGTTGGCCAAGGGCGGCAAGCCGCGCAAGTCCATGTTCGAGGCCGCGGCGTCGAGCAACGCCGTCATGCACGAGGGCAAGATGATCGACGCGGACCAGGTCGGCGCGGACGACTTCGACGTCGACGCGTTTTTGAAGCGGCCGGAGGGCATGGCCGACGGGCGCATGACGCTGGACCACCTCAACAAGTGGCAGGACGAGCGCGTCGCCGCGGCGTCGCTGCGCGTCGAGGTCGCCAAGGTGCTGAGTCTGGTGCTGGGGTCTCCCATGGCGCTTTTGGTCCAGCGGCCCATGCCGGACGTGGACCTGGACCCCATCAACAAATTCAAGGACGACATGAAGCGCACGGCCTTTGGCAAGAAGCAGCTCGGAAACAAGGCGTCCCTCTTCGACGCGGACGCCATCGCCGAGAAGAGTGTCGACTCTTCCCAGTACACGCTGGGCATCCACGCCGCGCGAAAAGAAAAAAAAGCGGAGACGTCGCTGCGGCTGCGCAACGCGCCCGCGAAGGCGCCCGTGCTGCTCGAGGACCCCCTCGACGTCGGGCCCGGGCCCGTGGAGCCGCCGCCGGACCCCAAGCCCGGCGAGGCGCCGCCGGCGAATACTTACGCGGACGAGATCGCGGTGCACTACGGCCCCAGGAACATGGAGAAGGCCCAGTCCCTGCTGGAGACCGTGCGCCGCGGCATGCGGGGCATGAAGGGCTACGACGGCTCCGAGAAGGACAACGAGCGCGTGCACCGCACCGTCGTCGGGGCTTTAAACAAGGACAAAGGCGACGTGACGACGCTCCGGGAGATCCTGGACCGCGTCGTCCGGCGGGAGAAGGAGCAGCGGTCCCAGATCGATCTGCTCGAGCGGGAGGTCCGCGTCATCGTGCGGTCCCAGGTCGAGAACCAGCGCCGCGTCGACGCTTTGGAGGCCGCGTACGAATCCGAGTCGGCGTCCGACGTCGTCGCGAATTTGCGGGCCGAGATCCGGTCCTGCCACGAGGACGCGGAGCGGTCCGAGGCGACCATCGCGTCGCTCCAGGAGACGCTCGCGGAGACGAACGCCGACGACGGCCAGCTCGAGCGCCTCGAGTACATGATGGCGAAATATCGCGACGTCGCGGAGATCCACGGCGCTTTACTGCCCCAGTACGCGGCCGTCGACGAGGAGCTCGAGGCCGTGCGCACCATGTCGCGCCTGCGCAAGTTCAAGGCCGGCGAGCGCGACCCGTTGGAGGCCAAGGCGGGCCAGCTCCAGGACCGCAAGGACGAACTCGAGCACCGGCTTTTGGTCATCTTCCGGGAGGTCCAGGAGGTCGAGAAGCTCATGGTGCGCCTCTACGAGAAGGTCGAGGCGGCGACGCAGTTCGTCTTCTCCGGGTCGAGCTACCGGGGCATGCTCGTCTGGGCCAGCGACAAGGAGGAGCGGCGGTTGAATCGGGCGCCGTCGCCGCGGCTCGCGGCCGCGGCGCGCGCCGCGGCCGCGCCCGTGCGGTCGCTGCTCGACCCGCTGCCCATCGTGCCCAAGTCCGTCAGCGACCCCCTCGAGTCGGCCTTCGGCCGCGGCGCGGGCCTGCTGCCGCCGCCGCCGGGCGTCGCGCGGCCGCGCGACGCGCCGCCGACCCAGAAGACGCAGCCGGGCCGCGTCGAGTCCTACCGGAGCCTCGCGAACCTCGCCGCCAAGGTGACGACGAAGCCCCGGCGCGACCCGGAGGAGGACGCGGCCCAGGTCCTCAACGAGGCGACGCTGAAGCTCAAGTACAACGTCATGGCGGGCCTCGAGGACCGCCACAAGCTCCGCCCGCTCCGGAACCTGCCGTCGACGTCCATCAAGCGGTTCCAGAGCAGGACTGGGTAATGTGTTTCTAGGACCCGCTCGCGACGGCCTCGATCGACGCCCGCGCGTGGCGCCGGTACGCCGCGACGAGGCCGCGCGTCGACGAGTTGAGCGCCGCGGCCTCCGCGGCGTCGCCGAGGGCGTCGGCGACGCGGCCCGCGAGGACCTTGCCGAGCTGGACGCCCCACTGGTCGAAGGCGTTGTTGCCGAAGAGGAAGCTCTGGACGGCGACGCGGTGCTCGTAGAGCGCGACCAGGAAACCGACGTGGTACGCGTCGAGCCGCGGCAGGAGCAGCGACAGCGACGGCCGGTTGCCCGGGCAGGCGCGCTCGGGGTGGGCCTCGTCGACGTCGCCCATCGCGAGGGCGTCGGGCTGGGCGAAGAAGTTGGCCATGAGCTCGTCGTGGCAGCTCAACGGGCGGCCCTTGGCGTGCGCGGGCCGCTGCGACTCGCAGAACCCGATAAACTCCGCGGGCACCGCGCGGCCCTGGTGCATGAGCTGGTAGAAGCTGTGCTGGCCGTTCGTGCCCGGCTCGCCGAAGATTATCTCGCCCGCGTCGCCGGCGAGTGCGGACCCGTCCGACGCGACGGACTTGCCGTTCGACTCCATGTCGAGCTGCTGGACGTGCGCGGGGAAGCGCGACAGCGCCTGGGCGTAGGGCAGCACGGCCCGGCAGGGGAAGCCGAGCACGGCCGAGTTGTAGGCGCCGAAGAGGCCCAGGAGCACGGGCAGGTTCTCCTCGAGGGGCGCGGACGCGAAGTGGTCGTCGCACGCGCGCGCGCCCTCCAAAAACTTGCGGAAGATGGACGGCCCGAAGTGGAGGGCCAGGGGCAGCGCGCCGACGGGCGAGTGCACGCTGAAGCGGCCGCCGACGTAGTCGCCGAAGCCGAAGACGTTGTCGGGCTCGACGCCGAAGTTCGCGGCTTTTTCGACGTCCGAAGACACGGCGCAAAAGTGGCCCGCGACGGCCATGGCCGGGTTGACGCCGGGCAGGCGGGCGACGAGCCAGTCGCGGCAGACCTGCGCGTTGAGGAGCGTTTCTGCCGTCGTGAAGGACTTGGACACGACGACGAAGAGCGTCGTCTCCGGGTCCGACGCCTCCAACGCCCGCGCGGCGTCCACCGGGTCGACGTTGCTGATGAACCGGAGCGACCGGCCCGCGGCGGCGGCCTGCGCCGCCGGCTCCGAGCGTAAGGCTTCGTAGACGCACTCGGGCCCGAGGCAGGAGCCGCCTATTCCAATTGCCACTACGTTCGTGAGCATTTTGCCGGTGCTACCGACGCCGCCCGCGCGGACCTTGCCCGCGAAGGCGTAGGCGCGGTCCAGCGTGTCGTGGATGGCGGCGTGGACGTCGGCGCCGTCGACCAGGACGGGCGCCGCGCCCCGGGGCGCGCGCAGCGCCGTGTGCAGCGCCGCGCGGCCCTCGCTCTCGTTGACCAAATCGCCGCGGAGCATCGCGTCGCGCTTCGCCGCGACGCCGCGCGCCTCGCCGAGCGCGGCGAGCAGCCGCAGGGTCTCGACCGTCGCGCGCTGGCGCGAGCAGTCGAGGGTGATGTCGCCGCAGGCGAAGGTGAGCGCCGCGTTGCGCGCGTCGTCTCGCAGGAGGTCGCGCAGGTGGGTGCTCTCGATGTCCGCGGCGACGTGCGCGCGCAAGGCGTCCCAGGCCGCGTCGGCGCCGCCGCGCAGCGATGCGGCGCGTTGCCGAATTGGCGCGAGGCGCGCGTGCGCGACTGCGACGAGCAAGAGTCGGAGAGACATCGCAGTGCGCGTAGTTGGCGAGGGGATCGTGCACTGCACATTGCATGCAACTCTCTCAAGATCTCTTCGTAATCCAGGAAGCCATCAAACTCAAGCTCTCGGCAGCTCGACATTTAATGAGATAGTTGTTTGCTTGCTAAAGCAAAGACGCGTCTTTGCTTAAACTTCTAGTTAGTGGATCCTTAGCTGCAGGGCTGAGCTCCTGCTTTTACGTGTTGTTAATGGCTCGCTGTATGTATTTGGTTCCGCTAGCTTATGGAGCTGTCCCCTTTCTCGCTACGCGCGTGGGGGTTTGGGATGACCGAGGCGCGAACATGCTCTCCAACGCCTGTTCCCGCTGCACTATATCGGTTCCATCGCAGCGTCGATGATCGTTTGGTGCGCGGTGCGCGCCGCGCGCCGCGGCCGTCACCAACTCGCGCGCGCGCAATCTCGACTGCGAGACGCAGCACTCCGAGCTCACGTCGTGACCGGCGGCGCCCCCGGGCCTCGGCGTCGTCGTGAGGCAGCCCTCGCTGGCGCACACGATGCCGCCGCTCCGGCGGCGCTTCCGAGTTCCGCCCGAGGCGCCGAAGCGATGGGGCAGCCCCGTTCGACGACGGCCCCTTCGTCCTCGCGTCGGCGACCGAACCCGACCACAAGATGCCCGATGTCGAGCTCCAGCTCGACCTCGCCGGTGCCGGCGGCGCCAGCCCACGCGCGCGAGAGAGAGAGAAATCAGCGGCCGCCCAAAGAAGCGTCTTTGGGGTGCGGCTAGTAGTGTGTTCTCTAAACTAAAGTAATCGAGGAGGTGCCAAGGCCCCCGAGATGTCTGAGCCGTACTTGTGCGGGGAGACGGGCATGACGCCGCTGTCGGTGCTCGCGGGCGTCGACCTGCCGCTGGAGGGCTGCCCGTCCAAGGCCGTGTACCTGTCGCCCGCCGCCGCCGCCGACATGTGCACGGGCAGCCCCTTCGCGCCGGTCGGCGCGGCGCCGGCCGCGGCGGTGGTGACGCCGCCGATGCCCACGCGCGCGCTGCCGGAGGCGCCCGCGCCGCCCGCGCCGCCGGTCGCGAGAAAATGTCCGGCGGCGCCGGCGCCGCCCGCGCCCGCGCCGACCGGGATACCGCTGGCCGCGCTGACGGGCGCGGGCGTCGCGCTGCCGATGCGCGACGCCGACGTCGGCGCGGACAAGACCGACGGCGCGGCGCGCGCGATGCCGCTGGCCGCGCTGACGGGCGCGGGCGTCGCGCTGCCCGCGCGCGCGCGCGCGCCGCCCGCGGCCGTCGTCGCGACGACGGCGCGCGCGGTGCTCGAGGGCCACGCCGAGGTCATGGCCGGCTGCGACAGCGCGTTCCTCGAGGTCGGCGTGCTCGCGTCGGCCGTCGCGGCGCAGCTCGGCGCCGACGCGCGCGCCGTCGAGCCGGAAGTGGCGCGCGCGCTCGCCGACTTCGCGGCCCGGCACGCGTTCCTGCGCACGCGCTGCACGGAGGCGGCGGCCCGCAAGCGGCACCCGCGGCTCGGTCCCGAGCTCCTGCGGGACCTGCCGTTCACGCGCGTGCTCCGGCCCGTCCGCGGCGGCTGGGTCAAGGTCAAGACCTTTCTGGCGCAAGACGTCGCGCAGCTCGCGGCGCGCGAGGCCTGGCGCGCCAGGGGCCTCGCCGTCGAGACGCGCAGCGTCCTCGACTGCGACCTCTCGGAGGGCACGCGGCACACGGCGGCGACCGCCGTCGCGAAATACCCGGGCCTCGACGCGCGCGCGCTCGACGGCCTCCGCCACGAGCTCGCGCGCCGCGCGACGGCGAACCCGCCCGGAGCGCCGCGTTCGACCGCGTCTACATGGGCGAGGACGTCGACGCGCTCGCCGCGAGGCTCGGCCTCGCACGGCGGCGGCGCCCGCCGAGGAGCCCGAGGACCCCGTCTGGGTCGAGGTCGAGGCGGGCGCGCGCCTCACGCAGGCCGCGGTCCGGGAGCGCTACCCCGCGCTCGGCCGCCCCCAGCGGGAGGCCCTCTTCAAAGAGCTCGACTTCAAATTCGCGACGAAGCCGCGCGGCCGCGGCCAGCGCGTCGTCAAGACCTACGCCGCGGCCGACGTCGCGCGCGAGGTCGCGCGCCACGCCGAGCGCGCCCTCGAGCTCCTCGACCGCCTCGGCGAGACCGTCGCGCCCCGGAAGCGGAAGCGCGCGGACCTGCCGGCCGTGCGCGAGTGCCCGTTTTGCGAGGCCGCCGGCGGGGCCCCGGACTGCGCCGTCTGCGGCGTCGCCACGATCGCGGCGAGCGCCGCGTCCTTCGCTTGAGAGCTCTATGTGCCCCGCGCGCTCCTGAGCAACTTCCCCCGAGCGCTCCTGCCTGTCCATCTCCCGCGCGCCGCCCGCTGCGGCGCCCCCCTGCTTCGCCCCCGCCTCAAGTCGCCCCCGCGCCGCGAAGCAAGTTACATCCGCCCCGTCGCCTTGCCGTACTCGATGAAGTTGTAGCAGACGGCGACCCAGAAGAAGCCCGGGATCGCGAGGACGGACGCGTCCGCGACCTCGCGCCGCAGGGGGATGAGCTGGGCCTCGTCGGGTCTCACGACGGCGGCGCCCGTCTTCGCGTGATAGCGCGGCGAGTAGAGCGCCAGGTACTTCTCGTAGCGCTCGCAGCCCGGCGGCCGATCCGCGTCGAGGTCGTCGACGTCGACTCTTCTCACGGCGCCGTCGTCGTCGCCCTGCCAGTAGACGCGCTCGAGCACGTAGCTCTGATATTGCACGAGGTCGGCGGTATCGGCGCCCGCGATGACGAGGTCGCCTATGCGCGTCGACCCGCGCGCGACCTGCCTCGCGGCGTCGGCTAAAACCCAAGCAAGCTCGAGGCCAAAGAAGCCGAACCGCGGGTCCAAGCGCTGCCGCCGCTTGTCCTCGCCGGCGAAGCGCGCGCTGCTGCTTCTTCGGCTCCGCAGCGGCGCGCGGAATGCGCCGACGGCGACGGCGGAGAGCAGCGCGATATATACACTGGGGGCACGCAGTTTGAGAGCTCGCATCCTGCACGAGCGCTCAGTTTTGGGCACGCAGTTTGAGAGCTCGCACTGCACGAGCGCTCAGTTTTGTCAAAGTTTCCCTGAAGGTGAGGTCAACAACTCGGTAGCTTCCGGACCGACGGCTGCCCATGATGGGAAGCGCCATGGCAGCTCCTCCGCCGCCGGCAGCACCATGATGGGAAGCGCCATGGCAGCTCCTCCGCCGCCGGCAGCACCATGATGGGAAGCGCCATGGCAGCTCCTCCGCCGCCGCCAGCACCACCGACGACCGTGCTGCTGCGATGTCAGTGCGGAAAAATTTCGTGCGAGCTGGGCATGCTTCCCGCGGAGCCGGCATTGATCGATTGCTACTGCCGAGCCTGCAGGACGTGGAGCGCTTCCGCCTACGGCTGCCTGCTGCCGCTCGACTTCCTCCCCGATGCCTTCGCCGCGGCGCGAAGCTACGACTCGGACTGCGGCGGCGGCCTCGGGCGGCTGCGGCGCCTCTTGCGGCGACTGCCGGGCCCACGTCGGAGCGTTGCCGCTCGACGGCTCGGTCCCGGCCTACGCGGCCGCGGGCTGCGTCGTCGACGCGTCGCTGCCCGAGGCCGTCGCCGCCGCCTGGCGGACGCCCGAGCGGGTCCTCGCGGCGGAGCGGGCGCCGGCGTGGTGGACCGCGCGGCCGTCGGACGATCGGACGGCGCCGCCGCGAGTCCTGAGCGGCCGCTGCGCCTGCGGCCGCCGCCGGCGTCCTACGGCGACGTTCGAGAGATGTTTCGACCGGATGACGCGTCGTAGGCCGCTGCGCGTTCGCCGCCGAGTCCGGGGCCGAATTCCAGACGCAGCACTGCTACTGCAACCTGTGCCGGCGGCTCTCCGGCTCCGTCGCGCAGACGTGGATCCCGGTGAAGCCGCGGGGGTGGACCTGGACGGCCCGGGGCGCGCTGGAGCTCGTCCGGACGACGCGCCACGGGAGGCGCCACGCGTGCCGCGCGTGCGGGACCGTGCTCACGATCGTCTACGACGCGCAGCCCGACTGCCTCTGGCCCGCGGCCGGCGTCCTCGACGACGGCTCGCTGCCCGCGGACCTCGGCGCCGCGCTCGGACGCTCGATCCACATCTGCTGCCTCCACAAGCAGCCGTGGTACCGCCTGCCCGAGGACGGCCTCGACCGGCTCGCGCACGCGGGCTGAGGCTACAGGGGGCTTTTAGTCGACGAAAGCGCGGGGCCTACTGCTCGTCGATGGGCACGTCGAACGCGTCGACGCCGTCGATGGGCGGGAGCTCCTCGTCGTCGCCGACGAACTCCTCGGGCGCGTCGTCGTCGCCCGGGACGTCCGATTCGTCGTCGTCGTCGCCCGCGACGCCGATCTTGTTCGTCTTCGTGTCGGGTTCGTCGCCCTTGGCCTTGATCTTCGCCTCGAGGGCCGCGGCCTCGTCGTCGTGGTGCTGCGCGACCTGGAGGTCGTCGGACGACGCCGGGATCGGGTTCTCCGGGTCGTCCGGGTTCTCCGCGGCCTGGCGGAGCAGGTGCGCGGCGTTCTTGTGGCACGTGTACTTCTCCTCGTCGTCGGCGGCGTGGCCGAAGGCCGCGGCGTTGTGGTCCAGGGCCGCCGACTTCTGGTGGGACGCCGCGCAGATGGCGGCCAGCGCGGTGCGCGCGTCGAAGAGCGCCCTCGGCGAGTGCGCGCGGTGCTTCCAGCGGGAGACGCGCCGCGCCTTGTCGTCCATCTTCTGCATGCCCCGCGAGAGGAGGAAGGAGTCGGGCAGGTTGTGGTAGGCCATCAGAGGCCCCGCGGCGTCCGCGCACTCGACGAACTTCTCGAAGAACGGCCGCGCCTCCGCGTGGCGGCCGAGCTGCATGTGGGCGTGGGCCGCGCACTCCAGCGCGGCGACGTCGCCGATGTTCATGGGCGGCTCGAGCAGGCTCGTGTCGCAGGTGTCCTCGGCGAGCTCGTCGCGGAGCTGCCAGTAACGACGCCATCGCGTCGACGCAGCGCGCGTAGTATTTCGCGCGGCCCGGCGACGCCTCGGCCTCGGGCGCCGACGCGAGGAAGGCGACGAAGCCCTCGGCGAAGGTCAGGGCGAGCTCGCCGAAGAGGTCCTTGGCCGCGCAGGCCGCGTGGCGCGCGGCGACCAGGGCGTCGATCATCGCGTCATAGTTCGGCGCGATGACCTGCGCAGGAAAAAGCGTGATTCAACGTTGCTTCAACGTGAGTGTGCCGCGCGCGCGCGTTCCTGAATGATCATCCACGCTTCGGGACCGTTCCGAGAGATGATCGCTCGTCCAAAAATCAGCCGAAGCGAGTGGAACACGGCCGAGATCGGAGACTTTGAAGTTGGGAATGTCGCACCCTTTTCCCGCCCCGGCGATCACGGTCTCCGCGTCCTTGCCCTTGGTGTCCTTGTCGCTGAAGACGAAGGAGAGGGCGCAGTCGATCTTTTCGATGATCAGCTGCTTGCGCTCCTCCTTGGGGTCGCCCGTGCCGCGCGCGCCGGCCTTGAGAAAGCCGCGCGCGCCGGACATGTTGGACGCGGCCGTCTTCGCCTGCTCCTTGGCGGCCCGGCGCGCCTTCAGGAGCTCGCGCTTCATGGACACGATGGTCGCCGCCTTCTTCTTCGCGTCGTCCTTGGCGCACTTGTCGAGCTGCTTCTCCTCGAGCGCGATGGCGTCGTTAAAGGCGTCGACGGCGCCGCGCGCGTCGCCCAGGCCGTAAAAGGCCTGGCCCTTGCGGAAGTGGCACTTGGCCATGGCGGACTCGTCGACGACGCGCGCCTCCTTGAGGCGCTTCAACGCCGCGCCGCAGTAGGCCTTGGCGCCCTCGAAGTCCTCGAGCTTGAGCGCGCACAAGGCCTGGTTGCTGAGGCTCGCGAGCGCGCACTTCTCCGCGGACCGCTCGGCCTCGAAGTCGGAGCTCACGGTCTCCTTACAGGCCTCGTAGCCCGTGACGCACTTCTCGTACTCGACGATGGCGCCCGCCCAGTCCTTGGCCGCGACCTTGGCGCTGCCGGCGGCCTTGAAGGCCTCGAGGTTCGCCGCGGCCTCCGTCGCCGGCGTCGCGCGGACCTCGACCACGTCCTCGCCGGAGATGTCGTAGGAGATGTCCGAGGCGGTGCCCATTTTTGCGGTCGCGCGCGACGGCGATGGCGTTCGAAGACGCTGCGTGCGGCGGTCTGCGCAGTCGCTTCACGACCCGCTGCACCCACCTGCGTTGCAGCCACCTCAGCCCCGCACGTCACGGTTCGGGCAATTACCAAATGGCTCAGATTGGCGTCCGTTCGGCTAGTTCAAGCCGACCGTGCTTGTAATCTCAGACCCGGGTCTTTTTCAGCCAGCAATTCGGAAGTTGCCATTGGCCTCTCGCTGAGAGAGGTCATTTTACAAAACTCCCGAGCCTGCCAAGGCTGCCCGACTTCACCGGGCCGGTCGGGGCAGCGTCCCCTGGTCTTGCGGGGGCGAGTGGACCCGGGGGCGATGCCCTGAGCATGCGCCATGGACGTGTCGAGCCATAGCGAGAGCACGTCGAGCGTGCGGCGGGGCAGCTCCGGCGAGGACAGCCTCCGCGCCTTCGTCGAGGAGGAGGAGCGGCGGCGGAGCGCCGGGAGCCCGCCGCCCATGGCGCAGCTCATGGAGGACCTCATGGCGCTGCCGCCCGAGGTGCAAGTCGTGGGCCTCGACGACTTCGCCGTGCTGAGCAAATTAGGCGAGGGCGGCTTCGGCAAGGTCGTGCTCGCGCGAAAAAAGTGCGGCGGCACGCTCCACGCGATCAAGGCCGTGCGCAAGGAGAAGCTGCTCAAGGCCGGGGCCGGCGCCGTGCAGCACATGCTCGACGAGAACAACATCCTCCAGACGCTGCGCCACCCCTTCATTTTGACGTTGCAGTACGCGTTCCAGGACGACGGCCGCTTGTATCTGGTCACGAACTACGTCGGCGGCGGCGACCTCCAGGAGCTCATCGAGCGGGAGCGCATCCTGTCCGAGGCCATGGGCCGCTTCTACGCGGCGCAGCTCGCGTCGGCCTTCGCGTACCTGCACGACCACGGCGTCGTCTACCGCGACCTCAAGCCGGAGAACGTGTTGTTGGGGCTCGACGGCTACGTCGTGCTGGCGGACTTCGGGCTCGCGAAGACGTTGGTATTAGGCGACGCGAATTCGCCGAAGGCGAATAAGGCGCCCCTGGCGACGAAGTCGCTGGACTCGTTCCCGGAGAAGCCGCCGCGGAGGCCGCGGACGTCGATCCACAAGGCCGAGACCTTCTGCGGCACGCCGCTCTACCTGGCCCCCGAGGTCGTGAGCCGCGTCCCCTACGGCCGCAGCGTGGACTGGTGGGCGCTGGGGTGCCTGCTCGTCGAGATGCTCACGGGCAAGCCGCCGTTCGTGGCCGCGGACCTGCCGGAGCTCATGGACCTCATCAAGGAGGCGCGGCCGGCCTTCAAGGACTGCCTCGGCGACGCGGCGCGGGACGCGTGCGCGGGCCTGCTGGCGCGGGACCCGGCGGACCGGCTGGGCTGCGGGCCGGGCGGCTTCGACGAGCTCGCGCGCCACGCGTTCTTCGAAGCCGTCGACTGGGCCGCGCTCGAGGCGAAGACGCTGGCGGCGCCCTTCCTCCCGGACCCGGCGACGGAGATGATCGGGCGGACGTCGGGCGGGTCCGCGAAAGCGGCGGTCTTCGCCGACGGGTTCAAGGCCTTCAACCGCGACGCGCTGTCGGTCGACGCGCGGCGGCCGGCGCCGGGCGACGAGGACCGGAGCCCCGTCGCGAAGCGGCGCGTGAGCGAGCTCAACGACGCCGCGCGCGACGGCGACGTCGACGCGCTCCGGGGGCTCGTGCTGGGGGGCGCGCCCGTGACCCTGTGCGACTACGACCGGCGGACGCCGCTCCACGTCGCCGCGTCGTCGGGCCACGCGGACGCCGTGGCGTTCTTATTGGACCGGGGCGCGGCCCCGGGCGCCCGGGACCGCTGGGGCGGCACGCCCCTCGACGACGCGCGGCGCGAGGGCCACGACGCCGTCGCGCGGCTGCTCCTCTCGACGTCGGGCGGCGTCGAGGACCCGGCGGCGCGCCTCTTCGCGGCGGCGCGCGACGGCGACGTCGCCCGCGTCGAGGAGCTCCTCCGGAGCGCGTCGAGCGACGACCTGCGGCTGTCGAGCGGCGCGCGGGAGCCGCCGCTCCACGCGGCGGCGGCCCGGGGCCACGAGGCCGTCGTCCGCACGCTGCTCGACTTCGGCGCCGACGTCAACGGCGAGGCCGACGACGGCGCGACGCCCCTGGCCCGCGCCGTGCTCGGGGCGCGGGCCGCCGTCGCGCGGCTGCTCGCGGGCCGCGGCGGCCGCGTCGGCCCCCGCGACGACCGCGTGCCGGGCGTGCTCTTGCGGGCCGCGCGCGAGGGCGACGGCGGCGTCGTCAAGGGGTTGCTGGACGTGGGCTGCGACCCGAACTGCGCGGACCACGACCGCCGCACGCCGCTCCACGTCGCGGCGGCCGAGGGCCACGCGGCCGTCGTCGACGTGCTCCTCCTCTTCGGCGCGGACGTCGCGCGCGTGGACCGCTTCGGCCAGATGCCCCTGGACGACGCCACGCGGGAGCGGCGCGACGAGGTCTGCGCGCGGCTCCGGCGCGCGGGCGCGCGCACGGGCGACGCGACGCCGCCGCTGGAGCTGCTCGACGCGGCGCGCGCGGGCGACGTGCCGCGGCTCGAGGCGCTCCTGCGCGACCACGACGCCAACGCCGCGGGCTACGACGACCGCACGCCGTTGCACCTCGCCGCCGCCGAGGGGCACGCGGACGCCGTGGCGCTGTTGCTGGACCGCGGCGCGGCCGTCGACGCCTCGGACCGGTGGCGGGGCACGCCGCTGCGCGACGCGGAGCAGGGCGGCCACGGCGCCGTCGCGGCGCTGCTCCTCGCGCGGGGCGCATCGCCGACGCCGCCGGCGGCGACGCCGAAGCGGTCCCTGTCCGGCTCCTTCTCGTCGAGCTCGTCGTCGCCGCGGCGGTCGCTGCCGAAGACGCCGTCCTTCCAGCTCCTCAAGCAGAAGATGGGCATGGCCGAGAAGGAGCCCCGGGTCGTCCCGTCGCCGCCGGGCTCCCCGGCCCTCGCGTCGTCCCCCAAGGGCGCCGAAAACCACGCCAAGCCCCTCGACCGGTCCCGGGAAGGGTCCTGCGCGATCTCCTGAGCGCCCCGCCCCCCAATTCGCAGCCGCCCTCCGTTTCCCCCTCTTTCTGCCTCGTGTGGCACGTCCCTGACGTCTCCTCTAATCCGCCTCCTCTCGATCAGGCTCGTCGACGTCGCCGCGCGACGCCGGCGCCGCGACGTCGCGACCCCCGGCCAAGCACGCAGGTAGATGGTGAGGCTGACATTTCCCACAAAAAGAGGATAATCGATATCCCTTTTTTGTGGCGCGCGCGGGCAGCCTCAAATCTGTTCAGCTGGGCAGCATGGCATCTCTCTCGAGCTCGAAGCGCGCGTCGAAGACGGCCCCGCCGCCGGAGCCGAGCGACGACGCGGACGTCGCCCTGTCCGAGGCCCGCGCCTTCGCGCGGCAGGTCAAGGCGAACATCGCCCTGCGCCGCGAGGAGGCGGAGCTCGTGCGCAGCGAGCGGCTGCCCGACGCGACGCCCGAGATGCTCCGCGAGAAGCGCCGCGCGGACCGGCGTCGAGCGAACGGCCGTTGTTTTTTTCGCGCGATGCTCGCCGGGAATCGAGAAGAGATCCGACCCTCCGTAGGCGCGGACGCGCACGCGTCCGCCGAGGCGCTCGGCCACGTGTCGCCGGCGCTCGGCGACGCCAAGGGCATGGCGTCCTTCCTGCGGCGCGCCAAGGCCGTGCAGCAGAAGCGCGCGGCCGAGGCCGTCGCGGACCCCGGCGGCCACGGCGGCACGACGCGCGGCGACCTCTGGACGAAGCACGCGACGCCCGTCGTCGACTGTGTGGAAATCAAATCTGCAACCCGACTTCAATGTGCGCGTAGTCGAACGGTTCCGACACGAGATCTTTAGCTGTGCTTCGACAACTCGACGAGAGCAATCGATTCGTCCAAAAATCAGCCGAATCGACTTCGAATTGACCGAGCTAGAGAGGTTTGAAGTTTTTGCTGGACAGGGCGTTCCACTGGTTGATTTGCACACAGGTTGTCGACCCGCGCGCGTGGAAGGGCGGCGGGAGCCGCGTCGTCGAGCACCCCGCGAGCCCGGGCGCCGTCGACGGCGCCAAGAGCCTCGAGCAGTCGAAGCACGCCGACGAGGACTTCGACTTCTTCGCGCTCCACAACGAGGTCATGGAGCGCGTCCGCGCGAACCTCGGGCCCCTCGAGGACCTGCCGCCGAACCGCCACATGGTCAACGCGGCCAAGGTCCTCAACGGCGAGCGCCTCGAGGGCGAGGACGACGCCCCGCCGCGGAAGGCCGCCCCGCCGCGGAAGGCCGCGTCGCCGCGGAAGTCGCGCTAGGGAGGCGGCGCGTAACGCGCCCCGGCGTTCCCTAGGCCTTCCTCTCGCCGAGGAAGTCGTCGACGAGGCCCTCGACCTCCGGCTCCGTCTCGAAGAACTTCTCGTCGAGGTCGTCGGGCTCCTTGGACAGCGACGCGGCCTCCGCGTCCTGCCACTTGTCGTCCTTCTCGCTCCGGCGGCGGCAGACGAAGACGAGGAGCAGGATGACGCAGATGAGGAGCAGGCCGCCGACGCAGAGCAGGATGATCATGAGGCCGCCCGCGGCCGTCGCGGCGCCGTCGTCGTCGTCGGCCTTCTTCTTCGACGACGACGACGACGCCGCCGCGCCGTCGTCGACCTCGGGCTCGCCGACCCAGGAGAACGCGACCGTCGACGACGCCAACGCCGCGAGGGACGCGGCCTCGTCGAGCGTGGCGTCGCAGAGCTCCGTGCCGTTGCAGTCCGCGAGGAGCGCCGCCGCGAGCGTGCCGCCCGTCACCGCGGCCTCGAGGTCCTCGAGGAACGCCGCGTAGAGCCGCTCGCCCTCCGCCGCCGTCATGGTCGCGTTGCCGAGCAATTCGGCCACGAACGCGATGGACGCCGAGAGGCCCAGGGACGTCGGGAGGGGCGTCGGCATCGGGCTCGGGATCGGGCTCGGCGCGCCGGAGCCGTCGTCGAGCCTCCGGCGCAGGAAGCGCAGGCGGCGCCGGGACGTCGACGCGTAGGACGACGCCTCGACGTCCGCGACGTCGTCGGCGTCGTCCACGGTGTCCAGGGCCGCCGCGAGGCCGTGCGCGAACGCGTCCGTCGTGTCCTGGGCAGCAAAAGGGTGATTCAACGTCGCTTCAACGTGAGTGTTCCGCGCGCGCGAGTTCCGGAAAAAGCATCCACGCTTCGAGACCGTTCCGAGAGATGATCGCTCGTCCAAAAATCAGCCGAAACGAGTGGAAAACGGCCGAGATATGAGCCTTTGAAGTTGGGAATTTCGCTCTCTTTTGCTGCCCTGAACACGACGTCGTCCCAGTCCGCGACGAAGTCCGAGTCCACGCCGCCGACGACGACGGACGCCGACGCGTAGACCGTGGCGTTGGCGTGCGTCGCGGGGCTCGGCGCCGCCGTGTGCTGCGCCGTCGGCAGCTGCGTGCAGCCGCAGGAGTAGGGGCAGCCGTCGCCGTCCGCGGCGACGACGTGGTTCTCGTCGTCGCTGCTGCCCGCGGCGGACGAGTCGACGCCCACGGTGTCGCAGCGCAGGTTCGGGTACTCGGCGACCCAGGAGCAGTTCTTCCACATCGTGCCGACCTTGTGCCACGCGTCGTTGTCGGCGCACGCCGTCGGCGCCGCCGTCGGGGGGGTCGGCGAGGGCGCGGCCGTGGCGTCGTCCGCGGCCGCGGCGTCGTCCGTCGCGGCGGCGGCGTCGTCCGCGGTCGCGGCGGCGGCGTCGTCCGCGGTCGCGGCGGCGGCGTCGTCCGCGGTCGCGTCGTCCGCGGTCGTCGTGGCGTCGTCCGCGGCGGCGGCGGCATCGTCGGTCGCGGTCGCGGCGTCGTCCGCGGTCGCGGCGCCGTCGTCGGTGGTCGTCGCAGCGCCGTCGTCGGCGGTCGCGGCGGCGTCGTCGGCGGTCGCGGCGCCGTCGTCCGCAGCGTCGTCCGCGCCCGCGCCGTCGTCGTCCGCGCCGTCGTCCGCAGCGCCGTCGTCGCCCGCGCCGTCGTCGCCCGCGCCGTCGTCGCCCGCGCCGTCGTCGCCCGCGCCGTCGCCCGCGGCCGGCGCGGCCGTCGGCGCGGACGTCGGGAACGGGTAGCCGCAGCACGTCGCGAAGCATGCGTTCTGGGCCTCGACGGTGGCGCCGGAGGCGTCGGGCCCCTTGACCGCGCAGCGCGCCGACGGCAGGCTCCCCACCCAGCCGCAGTCCTTCCAGGGCGCGTCCGTCTTCGCCCAGGCGGCGTCGTCGGCCGCGCACGCGGCGCTCGGCGCGGCGCTCGGCGCGCCGACGACGACGTAGATGTCCGCGTTCTGCTCGCCGCCGTACTCGCAGTTGTCGAGGTCGTGGTCGAGGCCGCACTCGCCGTCGCTCTCGCAGAGGTCGCCGACCTCGAGGCCGATCGTCGAGCACGGCGCGAGGTCCGCGTCGTCCGGGCACTCGTCGCTCGTCGCCTCGCGCACCTCGGCGCAGACGACGGGCGACGGCGCGGGCGTGCTCGGCGCCGCCGTGGGGTCCGGCGCCGCGACGACGACGTAGATGTCGGCCTGCTGCGTGCCCCCGTACTCGCAGTTGTCCAGATCGTGGTCCAGGCCGCACTCGCCGTCGGTCTCGCAGAGGTCGCCGACCTCGAGGCCCGGGAACCCGCAGTTCTCGATGTCCGCGTCCTCGGGGCACTCGTCGCTCGTCGCCTCGCGGTACGAGAGGCACGCGAGCGCGGACGGCGCGGCGGACGTCGGGACCTTCGTCGGGTTCCCGCCGACGATGAGGTAGATGTCCGCCTCCATGTCGCCGGCGGCGTCGGGGCAGTTGTCGAGGCCGTTGGACGTGCCGCACTCGTTGTCGCCCTCGCACATGTCGCCGATCGTCAGGTGCGGCGACCCGCAGTGCGGGTACGACGCCGTCAGGACGACGGGGTCCGGGCAGTCGTCGAGGTCCACCTCCTCGAGGTAGTCGGGGCACTGGATCTCCGTCGGCGCGGACGTCGGCGCGTCCGCGACGATGCGGTAGATGTCCGCCTTCATGTCGCCGGCCGCGTCCTCGCAGTTGTCGACGCCGTTCGTCGTGCCGCACTCGCCGTCGCCCTCGCAGAGATCGCCGACGTCCAGGCCGACCTGGCCGCAGTGCGGGTAGGACGCCGTTAACACGATGGGATCCGGGCAGTCGTCGGAGTCGTAGGCGAGGGCCGCGACGTAGTCCGGGCACTGGACGTCGGTCGGGAGCGGCGTCGTCGGCGCGCGCGTCGGGTTCCCGCCGACGATGAGGTAGATGTCCGCCTCCATGTCGCCGGCGGCGTCGGGGCAGTTGTCCAGGCCGTTGGACGTGCCGCACTCGTTGTCGCCCTCGCACATGTCGCCGATCGTCAGGTGCGGCGACCCGCAGTGCGGGTACGACGCCGTCAAGACGACGGGGTCCGGGCAGTCGTCGAGGTCCACCTCCTCGAGGTAGTCGGGGCAGACCATGGCCGTCGGCGCGGCCGTCGGGTCCGCGGCGACGACGCGGTAGATGTCCGCCTCGAAGTCGCCGTTCGCGTCTTCGCAGTTGTCGAGGTTGTTCGACGTCGCGCACTCGCCGTCGCCCTCGCAGAGGTCGCCGACGCCGAGCCCGGCCTGGCCGCAGTGCGGGTAGGACGCCGTCAGGACCACGGGGTCCGGGCAGTCGCCGTCGTCCTCGGGTAGCGCGAAGAGGTACGGGCACTCGAGCGCCGTCGGCGCCGCGGTCGGGGCGTAGGTCGTGGGCGCGTAGGACGGCGCCCCGGCGACGACGTAGAAGTCGCCGTCGACGCCGTCGTCCTCGCAGTTGTCCAGCGACGTGCTCAGGCCGCACTCGCCGTCGCTCTCGCAGAGGTCGCCCACGCTCAGGCCGTCGGAGTCGCAGGCGTAGACCGTGTCGAACTCGCCGGGGCACTCGTCGGTCGTCGCCTCGCGGAAGGAGCTCCAGCAGCCGTCGTCGCACCGGGCCACCGCGGCGCACCCCAGCAGCAGCAGCGCGGCGCGAGCGGCAGCCATTGGGCTGCCGAAGGTTTTGGGAGGTGAGTGTTGGTTTTTGTCAAGGATTTCTGATATTGGTGCAGTGTAATTGCAGCAAAAATCACCCGGGCAGCCCAGCACGAGCCCAGCCATCCTCGTCGTCGTCGGCCGCGTCGCGCGGTTCCACGCGCATATAGGCCAGCGCCGCCTCGGCGAGTTCCTCGCCGGCGACCGCCGAAACCCTGCCACCATGCTCTTCGAGATGAAGCCGCCGCAGGACGTGCGCGAGCCCCTGGACCTCGACCTGGACGCGATCAAGGTCGACGAGGGCCGCGGCGGCGAGGGCGACACGCTCCTGCCGCCGCCGCCGCCCGGCCGGCGCAAGGGCGTCATCTCACGGATGAAGAGCGGTTTAACGCCGCGGAACCGCCGGTCCGCCGGGCGCCTCGAGTCCGCGGGCCTCGACGAGACCGCGGCGGCGCTCGCCGCGTCCTACAAGCACGCGCTGAAGAAGGTCGACCCGCCCATGGACATCGTCGCCGACGCCGTCGAGTGCAACACGCGGCCGGAGATCGCCCAGTACTTCAAGATGACCGTCGCGGAGCTCGACCTCGTCAGCGCCGCGCCGGGCCGCGCGACGCTCGTCGCCATGGACAAGAAGCGGCGCATGACGCCGCGGTCCGCGGGGCGGCCGAACATCAACGAGGGCGCCGAGGTCGACCTCAAGTTCGACGGCGAGCCCGTGACGTCCTTCTTCTACAACCTGACCAAGGCCGAGGTCCGGGCCATCGCGGACAAGGCCGCGGAGCCGGGGTCGCCGAGGGAGGTCATCAACGTCGGCGACGTCGAGTTCAGCTTCGAGGCGCTCAAGGCGGGCATCGCCGTCCGCGTGAAGACGTACCGGAAGCACGTGCGGCCGGGGGACTACCACCAGATCTTCGGCGCCGCGCGCCTGCCGGACCTCGCGGCGGACCTGCCCATGCCGCCGTCCGCGAAGCTCCTCTAATTAGCTCTTCAGGAACCGGGACGCGACGAAGCCGCCGACGCCTCGGCGTCCTTCTTCTTCTTGTCTTCGCTCTTGAAGTGCTTCTGGATCTTCGAGCGGACCTGCTCCTTGGACCGCGTCTTGACGTACTCCGCGGCGATGCGCTTGTGCTCCTTCCGCCCGAGGGCCTCCAAGCCCTCGAGGAAGAGGGCGGTCTCGGCGTCGGTCCAGCGCCGCCGCGCGTTGTTGTCCGCGGGCGCGGCCGGCGCGGCCGGCGCGGCCTTGAGCTTCTCGACTTCCAATCGGTTCGCCTCCCGCTCGCGCCGCTGGCGCTCGCGCTGCTGCTCGGCCTTCTCCTCGCGGCTCTGGCGCCGCTGGCGCTGGAAGGCGGCGAACTGCGCCGCCTCCGTGCCCTCGGTCGGCGCCGGCGCGTCCGCGAAAACGGCCGGAGGCGCGTAGTCCCAGTTCGGCCCGAGGTGCCCGAGCTCCCGGCGGCACCTCCAGCCGCTGTGCTTCACGGCCTTGCACTCGGCGCAGGCCACGTTCTCCACGAGGAGTTTCACGTCGTCGCTCGACGGCCGCGGCGGGTCGCGCGCGCGCGACGCGGCGCCGTCGATGAGGCCGCCGAGCGTCGCGTCGGCGGACAGCGCCTCGTTGGACAGGTCGCAGAACTGGCACAGGCGCAGCACGTTCTCCTGGAAGAGCTCCTGGTACATGACGGCGTCGGCGAGCCGGCCCAGGCCCTGGTTCTCGGCGATGGCGCTCAATAATTCCGCGTTGCGCTCGACGAGCTCCTCGATCCAGATGGAGCCGTCCTCGGCCGCCGGCGGGGCCGCGAGGCCGCTCATGTTGCGGTGCGCGCGGGGCGCGTCGGGGGCGGCGTTCGGGGGCGGGTGCTGTCCTCGGGGGCGCCCGGGTTCGGCGCGGTCCTACTCGAGAGCGGAGGCCATCAGCTTCCCTCTTGAGTTCAAAATTGAAGATTTCAACGAGGCCGGTCGAAAGTTGGGTCGTACGGCTCCTTAGAGCGCGTTGTGGTGCTCGAAGCGCGGGGAGACCTCGCCGGACTTGTGGAAGCCCGGGAAGACCTCGTCGACCTGGGGGCTCGAGGAGCCGTGGCGGCCCGGGTCGCGGGCCTTGCGGCCGACGCAGGAGACGACGCAGCAGCCCAGGGCGAAGAAGAGGACCACGACGCCGCCGAGCGCCGCGTACTTTTCGTACTTCCAGAAGCGGTGGCCGCGCGTCGACGCGTCGTCGTCGTCCGCCGCCTCGACGGCGAGCGCCTCGTACGAGTCCGTCGTCGCGGCGGAAAACGTCGGCTCGCTCGCCGTGCCCGCGGACGCGGCCCGGACGTAGGGGTCGAAGAGCGCGGGGTCCTCGAGGAGCTCGGCCAGGCGGTCCTCGATGTCGGCCTTCGCCGCCGCCGTCGGCGCCGCCACCTCGAACTCGAAGCGGAGGCCCGCGCCGTCGATCGTCGGCGCTTCGACGTCCAGGTCCGACTTGCCCGCGGCGCCCCAGAACGCGTGGAGCGCGTAGGCGACGACGTCGCTCGCCGAGCCGTCGCCGGGCAGCGGGCCGAAGTTCCAGAAGGCGACCGCGCCGCGGAGCGCGTTCGCCTCCGCGGTCGGCGCCGGCGCCGCGGGGGCCGGCGTCGGGTCCGCCGACGGGCCCGGCGTCGGGTCCGGGGCTCGGGGGCTCGGCGTCGGGTCCGGGGCCACGGGGCTCGGCGTCGGCGCCGGCGACGGCCGCGGCGTCGGCGCGAGCATCGTCGGGCGCGGCGTCGGCGACGGCGTCACGGGCGCGGCCGTCGGGTTGCCGGGGCCGACCGTCGGCGCGGGCGTCGGGCTCGGCGCGGGCGCGGGCGTCGGATCGGTCGTCGGATCGGGCGTCGGGCTCGGCGCGGGCGCGGGCGTCGGATCGGGCGTCGGATCGGGCGTCGGATCGGGCGTCGGATCGGGCGTCGGATCGGGCGTCGGATCGGGCGTCGGCGGGTCGTCGTCCGCCGCGGGCTCCGAGGCGCCGTCGAGCGCGACGCCGTCGACGACGTAGTAGCGGTCGCTCCCGCAGCAGGGCCGCAGCGCCTCGAGGTCGGTCCAGTCGTCCGGGTTGGGCTGCTTGCTCCGGTCGTAGTTGGCCTGCTTCGTGGTCCAAAATTCATAGATCTGCGACACGTCGCCCTTCCAGCACGTCGTCGGCGCGATGTCGTACGTCGTGTAGGAGAAGGGCCGCTGCCGCCGACGCCGTCCAGCGACGTCGTGCTCCGGTCCGTCGTCACCGTCGCGTGGTAGTGGTACGCGAGCGCGTCGTGCGTGTGCCCCCCGCCTGTGTGCAAATCAAATCTTCAACCCGACTTCAATGTGCGCGTATTCGAATGTTTTGACACGAGCACTTCCGCCGTGCTTCGAGAACTCGCTGAGAGCAATCGATTCGTCCAAAAATCAGCCGAATCGACTTCGACTTGACCGAGCTAGAGAATTCTGAAGTTTGGCCCCGACGTCCCAGCTCACTGGTTGATTTGCACACAGCCCCCCGCAGGCGTCGAGGTCGTCGTCCTCGCCGTCGAGGCCCGCGGCGACGTGGCGCCCGTGGATCGCGTAGCCGTCGAGCGAGAGGCCGATGACCGGCGGGTGCGCGAGCCCGTCGTAGTCCGCGAGCGAGTAGAGGCAGAGCTCGCCGAAGGGGTCGCCGTGGCTACGGGAAAGATGGGGTCGTCGCAGGAAAGCCGTCGGACGCCGCCGCGCGCTAGTGGTAGTCCTCGCCCTTGCCGGCGTGGGCGCTGCACCGGTCGATCTCGCACGAGACGGCCGCGGCCTGGCCCCGGTTGTTGTAGTTGGGGAACATGGGCACGCCGTCCAGGGCCATGGCGACGGCGCCGGCGGCGGGCATGCCCGCGACGCCCGGCAGCGGCTCGGGCAGGTCGTTCACCTACCCGCGCGCGATGTCGGTTTCCCGGTTTATTAAAACGGTCGCGGACGCGGCCGCGGACGCCGTCCTGGTCCGGCGGCGGCTCGAGGGGGATCTTGTAGACCGTCAGCAGCTCCGCGGACGTGCGCACGCGGCACGTGGCGCTGCCGCCCGGCGGCAGCGGGATGGACCCGAGGTAGGCGTCGTCGCCGGGCTCGTAGCGCGGCCTGCCCGTGGCCCACACGACGAGGAACTCGTCGGTGCAGTAGGCCGCCCGGATGCCCGCGTCGGTCCGCAGCGCCGTCCCCGGCGCGTCGCAGGCGAAGCCGCCCGTCGCCTGGGCGCAGTCCTGGCACGCCACGGAGGCGATCGTCGACGCCCAGTCCGGCGCGTTGTTGTTAAAGGTGCAGTCCTCGTCGTCGGAAACGACGCAGGCCTCGGGCGAGCAGCTCTCGAGGTCGTCGCAGGACAGCGTCGACGGCACGATCGTCGTCGCCCGGGCCACGCCGCACGCGACGGCGACGACGAGGCGACGCATGGCTGCGCGCTCAGAAGAAAGGCTGCCCATTGTGGCCTCTCTCAAGCGGACCTTGAAGACGACGTTGAACCCCAGCCGAATTAGGCACGCGCGCGCTAGGGCTCGGCCTTGAGCTTGCGCCGCGCGGCCGCGCCGCGGGCCTCGCCGCCCGCGGAGAGGCGCTTCGAGATGAGGAGCGCGCAGCCCGTGTTCGCGTTGGCGACGGCGCGCTCCTTGGCGTCGTGGCCGAGCGCGTCCCGGAGGGACGGGTCCGCGCCGTGGTCCAGCAGGATCTTCACGACCGCGCCGCTGCCGAAGGCCGCCGCGAGGTGCAGGGGCGCGTCGCCCGCGTCGTCCACGAGGTTCGGGTCCGCGCCGCCGTGGAGCAAAGCGCGGCACGCCGCCGCCGCGCCGTGCGTCGCCGCGACGTGCGTCGCCGCGCGCCGCGGCGGCTCCGCGTCGCGCGCGTCCGGCGACGCGCAGCTCCGGAGCCAGTCGTCGACGACGGCCACGCGGTTCGCGCGGCAGGCCTGCTTCACGGCCGCGGGCAGCGCCTCGGCCGCGGGCGCCTTCGCCGCGAAGAAGCCGCCCGTCGCCTTCTTCCCCTTCGAGAGCGGGCTGCTCGCGGTGCCCCGGAGCGGGAGCACGGTCTTCTTCGACCGGCGCTTGCAGCGCCGCCGGCAGAAGAGGCCCAGGAGCAGGGTGAGGGCGACGGCGACGCCGAGGAGGCCCACCCAGAGGCCCTCGTCGAAGAGCTTGTGCCGCGCGCTCCGCAGCCGCTTCGCGTGCACGTACTTGTCGCCGGAGGTCCGCCCGCCGCCGGTCTTGTGCGCGCGCGGCGAGCGCTCGTGCTGCTTCGGGGTGACGAGCTCGCGCCGCTTCTTCTTCGCGTAGCCCATGAACTTCTTCGCCGCGTCGCCGGCCTTGGCGCCGACGTCGGCCATGGCCTGCTCGGCGACCTTCGCCAGGCCGGCGGCCGCGTCGGGCACGACCACGGCGGGCGCGGGCACGGGCTGGTGCTTCTTGCCCGCGCCGCCGCCGCCCGCGGGCGCGAGCGCCGGGGCCCGGTTCGCCTTCTTCGACAGCGACGGCGCGTGGTCGAGCTTGATCGGCGGATCGTGCACGAGCTTGATCGGCTCGTCCTCGGCCATTCTGCGCGCGCGCGCTCGCGTTTGAGCGCGAGCTCGAGGAGCAGCGCTCACAACAAGCTCTTGTGGCAGCGATGCTGGCCGTCGAGCTCGAGCCAGGCCTAGTCGAGGTCCGCAGCTGCAGCGCGCGTCGGCGGCCGCCGACCGCGCACCGCATCGTCGCACGCCTCCCGGGGAACACCGACCCTTACCCGTAGCCGGAGATCGGCCCGCGCAGGGCCGCGAGCGCGGGCCCGAGCGCCGCGCTCCTCGGCGGGTCGCAGGGCGCCGCGGAAGAGCACGCGAGCGCCGGCCGCGCGGCCGCCGCGCCGCACGCGGCGGCGCGCGGGAAGAACGGGTCGACGTCGTACCAGGGCGCGACGAGGGGCGCGGCGAAGTCGCGCAGCGCGGCGACGCAGGCGGGGAACGCCGCGCAGGCGCCGGCCGCGCGCGCGGCGACCTGGGGCCAGCAGAGCTCCGCGTCGACGGCCGGCGGCGCGCCGTCGGACGCCGCGCGGTAGTCGAGGCGCCGCCCCGTCGCCATCCCGACGACGGCGTCGACGACCGCGTCGGCGTGGTGGATCACGTCTTCGTAGCGAACGACGGCGTGCGGCGCCGGGTCGCGCCGGAGCGCGCGAAGGCAGGCCGTCCAGACCTCGAGCCAGACGGCGACGCACTTGGTCGCGACGCCGCAGTGCTTGCGGTAGGACAGCGCCGTCGCGAACGGGTGGCGCATGACGAAGACCGCGGCGCTCCTGTGTGGAAACAGGCGGAGCTTGAGGAACGCGCTCCCGAAATCCGGGTCCTTCTCGACGCGGTAGAGGCCGCCCGCGCCGCCCCACAGCGGCCCCCACGTCGCCGCGAGCGACGCCCGGGCGTCGTCGTCGTCGTCGACCTTGCGCAGCCCGTCGCGGCAGTGCGTCTCCGCCGCGGCCTTCGACAGCCGAACTTTCTCGCCGCCGAGCTCCAGGGACGTCGCGCAGGCGTCGGCGTCGCGCTTCCCGGCGGGGCGCCAGACGCGCTGCGCCTGCTGGCCCTCGCCCTGGCGCTTCGCGAGATTCAGCCGCGAGACGCCCGGCCGCGCCGCGACGAGCTCGTGCACGAGCGACGTGCCGCTGTGGTGCAACCCGGCGACGAAGAGGTAGGTAAAGCCGCAGACGAAGGCGCGCGCGTCCGGCGCGACGGCCGCGCGGCACGCGGCCGCGTCGAGGCTCGCGTTAGGCATCCTTCTTCGCCGCGGCGGCCGGCTCCGCCGGGGCCTTGCGCTGCTGGAAGTGCTTGCCGCGCCGCGAGTGGTGCGCCCACTCGCGCTCGAACTCGAGCTGGCGGTCGTCGATGGGCGCCGGGCCGAAGAAGGTGTAGAGCAGCAGGAAGATGATGCTGTAGACCGTGAGGTAGACGCAGCCCTCGGACGTGAAGAAGAGGTCCTCCCAGGTCTGGATGGACTCGCCGAAGGCCGATCGCCACAGGTCGCTGGCCACCATCGGGTGCAGCGCGCGTTGGCGCTGCCGTTTGCGCCGGTGGCGTCGAGTGTTGCGAGGCGAGCTATCGGCTGAGGCGATTCAGCGAAGACGCTGAGGCCAGCGTTTCCGCGCGCACGATTTTACGCATCGACGATGCTGCCCTGACAAGTCGTCCCATCCAGCAGCGATGCGCGTCCCCTCGGCGTTCCGCGCGGCGACGGCCACCATCAGCGCCGTCGCCGTGCTCGCCGCGTTGGACGTCGCGACCGCCGCGGACTTTGCGCCCTGGGAGCTGCCCGGCACGACGGACGCGGACCGCGCCGCCAGCGCCGCGCTGCAGCTCCGGAACCGCGCCCGGCTCCGGAGCCTCGCGGCGCGCACGAACGCGAGCCTGCCGCGGCTCTGCGGCGGGCCCTTCGGCCCGCCCGGAGCGGCGCCGCTCCGGTTGCTCCACATCCCGAAGACGGGCAGCACGTTCACGACGACGTTCCTCCGCCACGCGTGCCCCGCCATGCCCCTCGACGCGGCCATGGGCGCGAGGATCCCGCGGGACCGGCGCTGGGTGCTGGACGGGCGGCGGAACGTCGCGGACTACGACGCGATGTCGCTCCTGCGGCTCTTCAACGCGTCGTGCCCGAAAGACGCGCGCCTGCCGCTCGGGAACCGCAGCGTCTGCCGCGCGCGCGACATGCCGGCCAGCAAGGTCGTCACCTGCCGGCCGGACCCGACGTACCGCGCGCAGCGCCAGATCCACCACCAGGAGTTCAACCCCCGCGACGAGGACCCGGCGACCGTCGCGTCGTTCTTCCGCGCGCCCAACGACCGGCTCCTGTCCGCGTACCACTTCGGCCTCCACGCCTGGGGCCTGTCGTCCGTCGAGCGCAAGGCGCTCGAGGCGGCGGTGGACTCGCCCGCGGCGTTCAGGGCAGCACAAGAGAGCGACATGCCCAACTTCAAAGGCTCCTAGCTCGGCCGTGTTCCGCTCGTTTCGGCTGATTTTTGGACGAGCGATCGTCTCTCGGAACGGTCTCGAAGCGTGGATGCTTTCTCCGGGACGCGCGCGCGCGGCACACTCACGTTGAAGCGACGTTGCATCACGCTTGTCCCGCCCAGGCGGCGTTCGCGCGCTACCCGGGCGTCGCCGGCTGCGCCGCGCGACTCCTGAACTCCTGCGCGTGCGGCGCGCGCGACGCGCCGCTGGACGACGGCCATCGCACCTGGAAGTGCGACGCGCGGCCGAACAACAGGCACTACGTGGCCAAGGAGCGCGCGGTCGTCGACCGCGCGACGACCGCCGTGCGGCGTCTGGGCTTCGCGGGCATCACGGAGCTCCACGCGGCGAGCGTCTGCGTCTTCCACCGCCTCTTCGGCGGGGCGCCCCGCGACGACGAGTTCGCCAAGTACCGCGTCGGCGGCGGCCACGACGCGCCGGGCGCGGCCTACGACCGGTCCCGCGGCCACAACCGCGACCGGTCGAACGTCGCCGCGACGACGGCGGCCGTGGGCTACGGCGAGTCCGCGGCCGACGCCGCCCTCGACCATTTCGTGGACCCCCTCGACGAGGCCGTCTTCGCCGCCGCGCTCGACCGCTTCGAGGACCAGCTAGCGCGCGCGCTGAACGCCGCCGCGGAGGCGAAGCCGCGAGCGACCGGATAATCGAGCATCATGTAGTACAGCCAATGTCGCGCGTCGGGGGTTTCGGGCCCCCGGCGCCGCGAAACAACGCGGACGCGCGGGGGCCGTCATGTACGTCGGACGGCGCGGCGGCGGCGGCGGCGCGGTCTACTTGGGCGCGAGCGCGGCGACGAGCGCGTCGATCTCCGCCGCGATCTCGGACGTCGCCGCGAGCCCGTCGACGAGCCGCGGCGGGAGCCGCGAGCGGCCCTTGTTCGCGCCGAGGAGCGCCCCGAGCACGGCGCCGCGGTGCACGTTCTCGCCGCCGACGTTCGCGTTGACGAGCAGCGCGTCGAAGACGTCGTCGCCGCCGTACTTCTTGGCCATGGCCAGCGCGGACGGCAGCGACTGCTGCAGGTATCAGCTGATCATCTCGTCGGGCGCGCCCGCGTGGACGCGCGACATGCCCAGCGCGTCCGTCGCCGCGTCGACGCGGTCCGCCATGGTCCCGACGCCGTGGACGCTGTCGAAGAGGACGCCCGCGACCGCGGCCGCGGCCCGTTCCAGGGGCTTCGAGTCGCGCGTGACGCGCGCGACGCGGACGGCGGCGTCGACGGCCTCGGCGCGCGCCCCGGGCCCGCCGCCGTAGGCCGCGGCGACGGCGGCGACGGACGGGAGCACGAGGCCGTCGATGGTGTCGACGTTGTGCCGGTCGTTGTCCGGGCAGTCCGCCGGGTCGCGCTTGCCGTGGGCGTAGTTCGCGAAGAACATGCGGTGGCACGTCGACGCGTAGGAGTCGTTGTGGCTCCCCGGCGTCGTCATCCACGCCACGTAGGCGTCGCGGAACGCGGCGTCGTCGACCCCGCCGCGCGCGGCGATCGTGCGGACGAGCAGCCGCGACAGCTGCGCCTCGAGCGTGTTCTCGCCGGCGGCGAGGGTCCCGTGGTAGTGGAAGGACGTGCGCGGGTTCCAGTAGGGCTTCTTGCCGTGGTTGATGACGTCGCCGATGACCGTCGTCCTGTCCTCGTTGTAGGAGCCCCGGCCCGCGCCGTCGGTGTTGCTCCGCGGCATGATGGAGCCCTGCATCTCGGCGACGGGCTTCGTGTAGTCGCGGATGCCCTGGCGGCCGTAGTCGCCCTGCACCTGGCGCAGGCCGCCGTAGTACCAGTGCGTCGGGCTGGCCAGCGCGTCGCCGGCGAGCAAACCCCAGAGGGCGCCCTGCACGCGGTCCTTGCTGCCCTTGCTCATCTCCGGCGGCGGCGCGGCGCAGTTCTTAGTGCCGGTCGTCGCGGCGCAGTCCGTATTGCCCGACGCACCGCAGACGAAGAGCGCTCCCGACTCAATGAAGCTTCAAGCAATCAGGTTGAATGCACAAGTTACCCGCCGAGCGCGCCGCCCTGGGCCGCGCGCAACCCCGCGCGGAGGCCGTCGTTGATGAGCGCGTCCCAGGAGCGGTCGTCCGCGAGCGCGGCGACGACGCGGCCGAGCTTCGCGCGCTCCGCCGGGTCCTCGCGGAGCCACGTCCGCGTCGCCCGCTCCATGGCCGCGAGCACGTCCTCGCGCGCCTCGGCGCAGCCCGTCGCCCTGTCCAGGGGCGGGTCGAAGCGCGCGTAGACCGCGCCCGGCGCGCGCGCGGCCAGGACGGCCGCGGCGTGCGCGTCCGTGAGCTCCTCGTGCGTCTGTTTCCCGTCGTCCAGCCGCCCCGTGCCCAGGGACACGACGCACCCCACCTCCGCGTCGGGCCAGATCGTCTTCGCCTCGACGAGCGCGAGCAGCGTCGGGTTGTTGAAGGCGACGCCGCCGTCCGTCAGCGACACGTCGTGTTCGGCGAGGCGGAGCTCGGACCGGGGGAAGAACGTCGGCGCCGCGGACGTCGCCGCCACGGCCTCGGAGAAGGTCGCGTCGTCCGTGCCCTGGAGCGGCGCGCCGTCGAGGGCGTAGGTGCGGAAGAGGAAGGGCGCGGGCCGGCCCGTCGCCGGCGTCGCGCGTCGCGGCGACGGCCGCCGCGCGCGGCGCGCCGGGCTGCCGCGCGGCGAGGCCGGCGGGCGTCCTCGGCGGCGCGTCCACGAAGGGCAACGTCGCGGCCGCCGCCCGGGCGCCGGCCCCGGCCGCGTCGACGTTCTCCCGGAGGACCCGCGACCACCGCCGCGGCTCCGGGACGAGGCGCTCGTCGCCGCAGAGCTCGCGCACGAGCTCGGACCGCTCGTCGACGCAGGTGTGGCCCTTGAGGAAAAAGTGGTGCTTCCTGCGCGGCTCGAAGCACCGCGTCTGGAGCCGCGCGAAGGCCAGTTTCGAAGCGGCGAGCGCCTCGTCGCCGAAGCGGTTCACGAAGAGCGCGCCGCAGCCGCCGATGGACGTGCCGACGACGAGGTCGAAGCTCCGGGCGATGGGCGCGCCCGTCTCGCGCTCGAGCACGTCGATCATCGTCGCGATGTTCCGCCCCTTCATGCCCCCGCCGTCGAGGCTCAAAATCCGCAGCGGCCGGCTCGACCGCGGCGCGGGTTTAACTGATGGAGCCAGGAGCTGGTCGGCCAATTCCGTCGTCCGCTCCTCCGCGGACCGCACGCCGCGCGCGTAGAGCCAGACGTCGGCGAGCGCGCCCCGCTGCTGCTTCCGCAGCGCGGAGAAGCGGCGGAGCCGGCGCCGGACCCGGAGCTTCCGCGTCACGTAGGCGCGCCGCACCGGCCGCATGTATCCGCGTTTCGGCGCGTCGGGCGCGGGGTCGTAGCGCGGCGGCGCCGGTTCCGTCGCGGGCTCGACGGCCGGCGCGGACGGCCGAGAAAAGAACGTGTTCTTCGTCGGTGTTCTTAGGGACAGGCGCGGCCGCGAAAAGAGCGCGCCGTCGACGAAGCTTTCGAAGAGGGTGGCCACGTAGGCCAGGTAGGCCATGCCGAGCGCGTACGGCCGCATTTTCTTTCTTAGAACAAGCGCGGAGTCTACGTTGCGAACCACGCACCGAACGGCTTGTCGACCACCGATGAGACGTCAAGGTTCGCCAACGCTGCTGCACCGTCAGCTGATTGAGCGCTTGTGGCAAGAACTTGATTTCACCCCGCGGGAGCGACATCCCACGCCGCTCGAGGATGCGCTAGGCGCGCGGCAAGCTGTAGCGCAGGAGCCGCAGCGCAGGAGCCGCAGGAACCAGATAGGAACCGCGCTGACCGCAGCAACAAAAAGCAAAAGGCCCAACAACATGGACCGCTCCCTCTTCCACAGCCCGAAGACGCTGCTGGACCGGCTGCGCAACCGGAGCCCGCCGACGGTGGACGACCCCGCCCACGCCCACCACCTCGTCTACGCCTGCGGCTACAACGCCACGGGCCAGCTCGGCTGCGGCGACCGCGAGTCGCGCGTCGTGCCCTGGCGCGTGCGCACGAGCCGACTGGGCAAGGGCCGCGTCGACGGCGTCGCGTGCGGCACTGTGTGGAAATCAAATCTTCAACCCGAATTCAATGTGCGCGTATGCGAATGTTTTGACACGAGCACTTCCGCCGTGCTTCGAGAACTCGCTAAGAGCAATCGATTCGTCCAAAAATCAGCCGAATCGACTTCGATTTGACCGAGCTAGAGAATTCTCAAGTTTGGCCCCGACGTCCCAGCTCACTGGTTGATTTGCACACAGGTGCGGCAGCAGCTACAGCGTCGTCGTCGTCGCGGGCCAGGTCGCGTCCTGCGGCAAGAACGTCCACGGCCAGCTCGGCCACGGCGGGCGCGACGAGGAGACGGCGCCGCGGGTCGTCGAGGGCCTGCGGGGCGTGCGGGTCGTCGCCGTCGCCGCGCGCGGCGCGCACACGCTCGCGCTCGACGACCGGGGCCGCGTCTACAGCTGGGGCCGCGGCGACGAGGGCCAGCTCGGCCACGGCGCCTTCGAGGCCGTGCCCCACCCGCGGCGGATTGCCCGATTGCCGACGTCCGTCGTCGCCGTCGGCGCGGGCCGCACGCATTCGCTCGCGTTGGACGCGGACGGCGCGGTCTACTCCTGGGGCTGCGGCGACGACGGCGCGCTGGGCCACGGCGACCGCCGGCGCCAGCTCGCGCCCAGGGCCGTCGAGTTCTTCAAGACGCGGCCCGCGGCGGCGGTCAGCTGCGGGTCGCGGCACAACGCCGTCGTGACGGCCGACGGCGCGCTCGTGACCTGGGGCTGGGCGGCCTACGGCCAGTGCGGCGCGTCCGCCGGCGGCGACGGCCTGCGGCCCGCGGAGGTCCCGCTGCCCGGCGACGGCGGCGCGGAGTGCGTCCTGGCGGCGTGCGGCTACCGCCACACGCTCTGCGCGACGCGGCACGCGTCCGGCGACGCGATCTGGGCCTTCGGGTGGAACGCCTACGGCCAGTGCGGCGGGTCGACGTGCTCCGCGGCGGCGCCGCGCCGCGTCGGCGGGAAATTTCTAGGATCGCAGGAGGGGGGCGACGGCGCGGTCGTCGAGGCGCTGTCCGCGGCTGTGCCGAATTCAAATCTTCAACTCGACTTCAATGTGAGCGTACGCGACAGTTTCGACAAAATATCTTCGGTTGTGCTTCGAGAACTCGACGAGAGCAATCGATCCGTCCAAAAATCAGCCGAATCGACTTCGATTTGACCGAGCTCGAGAATTCTCAAGTTTGGTCAGGACCACCCAAACCAGTGGTTGAATTCGGCACAGGTCCGCGGGCGGCCGCCACTCCGTGTGCTGCGTGCGGCTCCCCGGCGGGGGCACGGCGACCTACGCCTGGGGCCGCGGCGACGACGGCCAGCTCGGGAGCGGGGATCGGAGGGACCGGCGCGCGAACCCGCGCGTCGCGGCGACGGCCGCGCGCGTCAACTCCGTGGGGCAGCGGCCGCTGCGGGGCCTGGCGTGCGGCTGGGCGCACACGGTCTTCGTGGTCGACGCGCCGCCGTCGAGTCTGCTGGAGACGCCCCCCCGCGCGCTGCTGCCGCGGACGCCGCCGGCGCCCGGGCTCCGGGCGCCGCGCGCGGCGGCGTTCGCGCGCGTGGCCTTTAGCCGCGGCGACGTCGACGGCGTCTGCGGCCAGCTGTTGGGCACGGTGCTGTCCCTCGTCGTGATCCAGAAGCGGACCGTCGCCGTGAGCGGCCTGTCGCCCGCGTTCGTGTCGGGCACGCTGCTGCCGGGCTGCGCGGTCGCGACGGCTGTCGGCAACGTCTTCTTCGCGCTCATGGCGCTGGCCGTCGGGCCCAACGCGACGGCCCAGCCCCAGGGCGTGTCCGCCGTGCTGCTCGCCGTCATCCTCTCCCAGGTCGTCGCGCCCGAGAAAGCGTCGCGCGGCGACGCGGTCTCTTCCTACGAGGCCGCGCTCTTCGTCGCGTCGCTCGTCGGGTTCCTCGAGCTGCTCATGGCGCCCTTCGTGGCCCAACTGAAGGCCTCCGTGCCGTCGGCGGCGCTCCACGCGTCCGTCGCGGGCCAGGCGCTCGTCGGGCTCACGATGGGCTTCGCGGGCGACGTCTTCGCGGCGCCCGCGGACGCGCTCGGGCCGCTGGTCGTGTGCTTCTGCTGCTACGGCGCCCAGGTGCGCCTCCCCTACAACGCGCCGGGCGGCGCCGGCGCCCTCGCGCTCGGCGCGCTGCTGGCGGCAGGGCAGGAAAAGAGAGCGAAATTCCCAACTTCAAAGGCTCCGATCTCGGCCGTTTTCCACTCGTTTCGGCTGATTTTTGGACGAGCGATCATCTCTCGGAACGGTCTCGAAGCATGGATGCTTTTTTCCGGAACGCGCGCGCGCGGAACACTCATGTTGAAGAGAACTTGAATCACCCTTTTCCTGCCCAGGTTGGCGGCGCCGCTCGGCGCCGTCTTCGGCGGCGACGCCGGCGGCGGCCGCGCGGCGGGCCCCGTGCCCTGGGCGACGCTGGCCGTCGTGTCGCCGCCGTCGCTGGGCGGGTTGCCCCACCTGGCGCGGGCCTACGCGTCGAGGGAGTCGCTCAAGTACGTGCCCGTCGCGATCCCGCTGGCGCCGACCGGGGCGGGAAAAGAGCGCGACATTCCCAAAGGCGCCTCTCTCGGCCGGTGTCCACTCGTTTCGGCTGATTTTTGGACGAGCGATCGTCTCTCGGAACGGTGCCGAAGCGTGAACGCTTTTTTCCGGAGCGCGCGCGCGCGGAACGCTCGCGTCGAATCACCCATTTCCCGCCCAGGCGCTGACGAACGTCTTCAACACGCTCGCGCAGGTCGAGGCCGCGAGGAACGTCGGCGACGCCTACTCGCCGACGCTCAGCGTCTGCTGCGACGCGCTGGCGACCGTGCTCGGCGCCGCGTGCGGCTGCCCGTTCCCGACCCAGGTCTTCGTGGGCCAGCCCGCGTTCAAGCAGATGGGCGCGCGCCACGGCTACATGCTCGGGTCGGGGTTCGTGGCGCTGGTCGTGGGCTGCTCGCCGCGGCTCATGGTCTGGGTCACGGCGGCGTTCCCGCTGGCCGCCGGCGCCGGGTTTCTGTTCTGGATCGGCCTCGCGGTGACGGCCTCCGCGTTCTCCCCGGCGTCGTCGGGCCTCCACAGCTCGCACTTCGCGTCCGCGGCGGCGACGGCCATGGGCCTCGTGCCCGTCATCGCCGCCTGGGGCACGCAGCTCGTGTCGTCGACGACGGCCGCCGCGGGCGCGGACGCGCGCCGGGTCTTCGGCGATCTGCAACGGGCGGGCGTCGACGCGTCGGGGCTGGCCGCGCTGGCCCAGGGGTCCCTGCTCTCGTCCGTGTCGCTCGCGGCGACGCTGGCGTCCGTGCTGGACCGCCACTTCGGCGCCGCGGCGCTCTGGAGCTTACTGAACGCGGCGCTCGCGGGTCTCGGGTTCATCCACGCGTACAGGATCGACCACGCGGCCGTCGTCGCGGACGTCGGCGGCCTCGTCTTCCTGCGCAACTCCAAGGCGCTCCAGGCCGCCGTGGGCTACCTCCTCGCCGCGGCGATCCTGCTCTGGTTCTCAGTGCGCGAGGACATCGAGCTCCGGCCCGACGCGCTCCGCCGGCGCCTGCTCCGGGTCCGCGACTTCTGCCTACCGAGGCGGCGCCGGCACCGCGGCGCGGGCGACGAGCGGTCGCCCCTCGTCGCCCAGCTCCCGAAGCCGTCGGCCCAGTTCCTGCCCATCCACGCCGCGCCGGAGCACGAAACCGCGCGCCCGCAATCGCGCGACGCCGCCGCGTCGCTGTGATCATGCACACGTTGTTTTTAGTCGACGCCGTAGTCGCGGGCGCTGCGCCAGTAGGCGAGGACGTGGGCGAAGACGTCGTCGGGCACGCGCGGGTCGAGGAAGAGGCGCTGGTAGGTGCGGTCGGTCGACGGCGCCGCGCGGCCGCGGCCCCGGAGGCGCGGCAGGTCGCGGCGGAGCGCGAGCAGCGCCGCGCGCGGCGCGAAGGCGTAGGCCCGCCAGCCGCCGGCCGCGGCGACGGCGGCGAGGAGCGCCGCGGCGTCCGCGCTGGCGTAGCGCCGCGCGATGCCCTCCGCGGTCTCGCCCTCGGAGCTTCGCGTCTCGGGCGCCGCGCCGTGCGTCATGAGCAGCTCGCACATCTTCGCGTCGTTCAGGCTCGCCGCGAGGTGCAGCGCCGTGAGCCCCACGGCCGTGCGGTCGCCGACGCGCGCGCCGGCCCCGAGCAGGAGCAGGGCCGCCTCGCGGCGCCGCCGCTTCGCCGCGCGGATCAACGGCGTCTCCAAGATCTGCGGCCGCCCGACGTGGACGTCCGCGCCGTGGCGGAGGAGCCAGCGCACGACCTTGCACCAGTTCCGCTCCGCGGCGTAGGACAGGCGCGTCTCGCCGTGCAGCACGAAGATGTTGAAGACGCTGTGCTGGAGGGCGTCGAGGTCTTTGCCTTCGTGGTAGGAGCGCATTGTCTCCTCTAAGAAGTCAGCTTCTCGCAGACGCTCCTCAACATTCAACCATCCATCCATGGCGTGACCAGTTCTACGCGTCGTCGATCTTCTCCACGACGAACATTGCGATGCCTACTTGGCTGGCCGGGAGGACGAGGAGAGGGGATGAGAGGCTCAGTTCTACGCGTCGTCCATCTTCTCCACGACGAACAATGCCATGCCGACTTGGCTGGACGAGGAGAGGTCTTCAAGTTCGGTTCAAAAATGGTTCAACGTCAGTTCAAGCGACCTATGTTGATGGTCGCGCGCAGGAAGAAGGCCGGGGACCTGTTCAAGGGGCCCGCGCATCCCGCGCTCTATAATAGCGCACCTTAGATGAAGAGCCGCCGGGGGCTCCGCCTCTGGTACACCGGCGCGGACCCCGGCGGCGTCGGGAACGCCTGGGCCGGCGGACCGAAGCCCCGCGGCACGGGCGGCGGCGGCGGCACGTCGATGAACTCGGTCCGCGGCGCGCTCGCCGGCGGCGGCGCGGGCCGCCGCCGGCTCGCGGGCGTCGCCGGCGCGGGCGCGCCGTCGTCCGAGGAGACGTCGTCGTCGTCGCCGAGGTAGAGCACGGGCGTCCGCTCGGGCTCGACGAACTTGCTCCGCTTGAACGACGTCCGCGCGCTCCGCGGCGGCGCCGGCGGCGGCTTCGGCGGCGGCGGCTTCGGCGGCGGCGGCTTCGGCGGTGACGGCTCCGGGGGCTCCGGCGCCTCCTCTTTCGCGTCCTCGCCCGCCTCGAGGACGTCGACGAGCGCCGGCGGCGGCGACGCGTCGTCGTCGTCGTCGTCGTAGGACGACGCGTCCTCGGACGCCTCCTCGGGGAGGAGCACGGGCTCGGCGACGTCCAGCGCCTTGAAGCTCCGGTCCTCGTCGTCCTCCGCCCGCCGCTTCGCCGCGTTCGCCGCCGCCGCGCGCAGCCCCGCGGCGACGCCCGCGCAAAAGCAGCACAGCGCGACGACCGCGAAGCACAGCAGGAAGGGGAACCAGGCCCAGTCGCCGCGCCGCACCCGGCGGATCACGACGCCCCAGAGGGGCCGCCCCGCGCGCCGTCGGGACCCGCGATGCGGCGCGGGCGTCGGCGCGACGGCGTCGCACGCCGCGACGTCCGTCGTGCCGACGAGCTGGCAGCTCAGCGTCAGCGTCGCGTTGCGCACGTCGTAGAAGGAGCCGCGCGAGATGGCGCCGCTGTCCGCGAGCGCCTCCGCCTGCGCCGTCATCGCCGCGTCGAAGTCGCCGTCGTACCGCGCCGAGAGCTCCGCCTCGAACTTGGCCGCGAGCCCGTCGGCGTCGCCCGCGGCGACGAGCGACAGGACCTCGTCGTCGTCGCCGTCGAAGGACGCGTCGTAGGTGACGCTGTAGCTGATGGCGACGGTCGCCGCGTCCTCGAGCCTGCGGCGGCGGCCGCCGCCGCAGCACGCGTGCACGTGGTCCGGCGGCACGCCGAGGTTGGACACCGCCTGGAGCTCGTCCACGCTCGCGGCCGCGTCCTGGCCGGCTTCGGTCATGATGTTGTAAAAGGCCGCGTCGCTCGCCTCGGCGCAGTCGACGAGGGTGGCCTCGAAGGACCCGTCGGAATAGGCCGCGTCCAGGGTCGCGACGACGGCGTCGAGCACGGCGTCCGCCGCCGCGCCGAGGTCCGCGCCGACGACGACCTCGAGGACGACCTCGAAGGTCCACACCGTGTGGACCTTGCCGTCGCTCGTCTCCCAGGCGTAGTGGTCGACGAACTGGTCCGTGGCGTTGATGTAGGACGACGTGACGTCGACGACGGTCTCCTCGACGCAGATCGTCGCCGCGGTCTCGCCCTTGAACGCGTCCGGGTTGAAGCCGTCGTGCTCGTTGAAGACGCAGCTCACGTTGTAGACGTAGAAGTAGATCGTCTCCAGGCTCGTGGGCGGGAACGTCATCGTCGGCGCGACGGTCGGCGCGGCGCTCGGGCACGACGTCGGGCCCGCGGTGGGCGGGTCGCTCTCCGAGAGCGACGGCGCGGACGTGGGGCTCGCAGAAGGACTGGGGGAAGGCGGCGAACTCGGGGAGCCCGTAGGCGTCGCGCTCGGAGACGACGACGGGCTCGCGCTCGGAGCCGCGGTCGTCGGCCCGGCCGAGGGCGTCGCGCTCGGAGACGACGACGGGCTCGCGCTCGGGGACGCGGTGGGCGCGCCGGAGGGCGCCGCGCTCGGGCACGACGACGGGCTCGCGCTCGGCGCCGAGGACGGCGAGGACGACGGCGCCGAGCTCGGAGACGACGACGGGCTCGCGCTCGGAGCCGCGGTCGTCGGAACGCTCGAGGGCGCCGGCGCGGGGATGGGGGTCGGTCCGGGGCTCGGAAGGTTCGAAGGCGTCGCGCTGGGAGCCGCGCTCGGAGACGACGACGAGCTCGCGCTCGGGGGCGCGGTGGGCGCGCCGGATGGCGCCGAGGACGGTGAGGACGACGGCGCCGCGCTCGGGGACGCGGTGGGCGCGCCGGATGGCGCCGAGGACGGCAAGGACGACGGCGCCGCGCTCGGAGACGACGACGGGCTCGCGCTCGGAGCCGCGGTCGTCGGCCGCGCGGACGTCGGCGGCAGCGACGTCGTCGGCGCGGTCGACGGCGCGGCCGTCGTCGGCGCGTCCGTGGGCGCGAACGAGGCCGTGGGCGCGACCGTCGGCGCGGGCGAGGCCGTCGGCGCGAGCGACGGCGGCTGCGTCTCGAAGGGATTCGTGTCCGTGGCGCAGTTGAACCCGTCGTTGCTTTCGAAGGGGTGGGCCGCGTGGACGAAGGCCAGCGACGCCGTCGCCGTGCCGCAGACCGCGTGGAGCTCCACGAGGAGGCCGTTGTTCCAGCAGTCCGCCGGGATCGTCAGCGGCAGACCGAGCGAGAAGCCGTAGCCGTCGTTGTCGCCGAAGACGACGAGGTCTTCGTCGGCGAGCTCGTAGCCGAACGCCGCGCCGAAGGTGACGTCGCCGTCGAAGGTGTAGTTCGACGCGCCGTAGTCGACGTCGCTGGCGAGCACGGCGTAGGCCTCCGGGTAGCGGCCGTCGCCGTCGAGGCGGACGACGACGAGCTCGAACGCGTGGCCCAACCCCAACAGATAGGTGCCCTGGACGCCGTCGTCGATGGCCTCCGCGACGCCGTTTCGCTCGACGAGCGGCGCGACGTCGCCGAGCGACTCGGAGAAGAGGTCCGGCGAGATGAGGAGCTCGTAGTCGTCGACGAACGTCGGGACGTCGCCGTGGACGTTTTCGACGAAGTAGAAGGCCTTCGTGTTCTTGCCCGGGCTCTTGGAGTAGTAGTAGGTCGTGCCGACCATGGCCGCCGCGTTCGGGTAGTCGTAGGCGAGCGTGCCGTTGAAGCACACGAAGCCGTCCGCGTCGAAGCGGCAGAGCCGGTCGTCGAAGGCCGCCATCGCGTACGCGTCGCCGCCGAGCTCGAGGAGCGCGGCCGCGTTGACGTTGCCGGCGAAGTAGTCGATCTCGAAGAGGTAGTCGTAGAAGTTGTCCAGGGGCACGTGCTTGATCACGGACGCGTGGGCCGCGTCGCCGCCGCGCTGGATCTGCACCGGGGCGCCGTCGGAGCAGTCGAACGGCGCGACGCCCGCGTCGGCCCAGCAGACCCGTTCGTAGCGGTCGACGCAGTTGATCGTCGGCGCGACCGTCGGCGCCTGGGTCCGGAGGTCCACGAGGGGGCAGTTCATGCCGTCGTTCGCCTCCGCGGCGTCCGCGGGGACCCGGTAGACGAGTTTGGCGGTCTCGTCGCAGGCGACGTGGTCGCCGTCGCCCGTGTTCCAGCAGTCGTCGGCGACGACGAGCGGGTACTGGATGACGAAGACGCCGAAGCCCGAGTTCTCGGAAGCGACGAGCACGGGCTTGCCGCTCGTCGCGTCGAGGTACGTCCACCTGCGTGGAAATCAAATCTTCAAGCTGACTTCAACGTGAGCGTAATCGAACGGTTTCGACGCAAGTTCTTCGGCTGTGCTTCGAGCACTCGACGGGAGCATTCGATTCGTCCAAAAATTAGCCGAATCGACGTCGATTTGACCGAGCTAGAGAGGTTTGAAGTTTTTGCCGGACAGGGCGTTCCACCGGTTGATTCCCACACAGACGTCCACGCGGCGCCGAAGCCGGCCGCGCTCTCGGCCCGGGACTCGTCGTCGAGCGCGTCCGGCGTCTCGCCGCCGAGGACCGCGTAGGCGGCGGGCGCGCCGCCGTCGTCGAGCTTCACGACGAGGACCTCGTAGGCGTAGCCGACGCCGACGAGGTACCGCGCGGCCTCGCCGTCGTCGACGACGACGACGCCGGCCTCGATCTCGTCGACGGGTGCGACGTCGAGGACCTTGCCCGCGAAGAGCGACGCGGAGATGAGAAAGGCCGGGTCGTCGTTGTGGAAGACGGGCGCGTCCGTGTGGATGTCCTCGACCCAGTAGAAGGACTCGGATCCCGCGTCGCCGGGGCTCTTCGAGTAGTAGAAGTTCGACCCCAGGACCGCGCCCGCGTTCGCCGTCGGGTAGGCGAGGTCGCCGCCGAAGCAGACGGCGTGCGCGGCGTCGAAGCGGCAGAGCCGCTCGTCCATGACGCCGAAGGGCACGTAGAGCGCCGCGTCCACGTCGTAGAAGAGGCCCACGGCGTTGATCTTGTCCTCGACGAAGGTCAGCTCGTAGAGCAAATCCAGGTTCCCCGTCGCGACGTCGATCTGGCCCACCTCGTAGTAGGTCGCGTCGCTCGCCTTCCAGACCTGGAGCGGCGCGTTCGAGGTCGAGCAGTCGAGCGACGCGACGCTCAGATCCGCCCAGCAGACGACGCCGTCGCAGGGCGTCGCCGTCGGCCGGTCCGTCCGCGTCGGCGCCGCCGTCGGCGGCTTCGTGACGAAGAAGTCGCCGAAGTCGGCGTCGGGGCAGTTGAGGCCGTCGCCCGACGCCGCGGCCGCGGCGCCGCGGCGCTCGACGGTCGCGGTCGACGAGTCGCACGCTTCGTGGTTGTTCGTCCCGTCGTTCCAGCAGTCGAAGCCCACGGTGATGGGGAGCCGCACCTCGTAGGCGCCCAAGCCGCCGTCGTCGACGAAGACCGCGCGCGCGTCGCCGGACTCGTCGGCGTAGGCGTGCGCGGCGCCGAACGCCGCGCCCGTCCCGTCGACGGTCCCGGGGACGACGGCGTAGTCCGCGGGCGCGCCGGCGGCATCGAGGCGGACGATCAACACCTGGAAGTCGGCGC